CCCAAGTATTGATTGAACTAAACTAGGCTTGATTAGTCTAGATCAATTCAGGGTGATTCCAAATTGATTGACTTATTCAAGTTAGTTTAACCGAAACTGAACCTAATCTAATCCAAATTATACTAGTTTAGGGTGATTCCAGACCAGTTAAATAAGGATTAGAGATCGGTTCAGTTAGGTCCTAGTAAATTGAGTTCAATTGGATCAATTGAACTAGAGTTCAAGTCAATTGAGGGCTAATTTGTATTATTTGGTATTGATGATATTTGAAAGAAATATTTAAATGTGTTATTTCATCCCTATATGGACATGACTAGTGTGAGATTATGTTATTTCCCTGCCAAGGGCAGGTAGGGCGATTCCCTTCGGGGATTAGTGGGCCGTCAGACGTGGCGGCTGGACGGTTCCTCCATCCGCTATTGGGAGGAACGTGTCCCCACTTTGGCGGGTGTGGGAAACCACTCCATCCGCTGTTGGGAGTGTGATATGAGTTTGCCTCAATCCGCTGTTGGGAGAACACAAACTCATCCCGTAGGATAAAGCCTCTCCATCCGTTGTTGGAGGAGTGCTCCTTCGGGTATTTGATATACGCCAATGAGATGATTGATTGAATTTTGATCATGTATTCATCTTGATTTGACTTTTGGGGTTCCTACTCAACGTTGCTGAATTTTCTTTGTTTTTAATTTTCAGAGCAGCATCCCTCTAGTACTAAATCGGATTCTAGTGAAGAGCGGATATTTATAGATGATGAATAAATGAATTATAAAAAATAGTTATAGATGATGAATAAAGTGATATTTATTTATTTGGCCTGTGTGGAAATATATAAAATAAAAAAAAATTCAGGATGTGACAGATAGAGCTAAGATTGCAAGAAACACGGTGTTTGCAGCCAATTTAATCCCATTGTATAACTACATGCGTGATGCACAGAATCCAAGTTGGATTCACAGCAATCTAAAGCTGTGCTTCTTCTCTATAAGGCGAAGGGATGTCCTCTGGCTCCCTTGCAGGCTTCACCCATCTGCCGTAAGCATTGCACTCCATGCCCTTGTTGGCCATCTGAACCCAGCAAGGTGGAATGTGCAACTCATCGCGCAGCATTCCACTGGCCTTGTTCACCAGCGCCACGTCCCTCCTTGCGTTCCCCCGGAACTCCTTGTCGGAGCTGAGGAACCCGTCCACGAGGTGCAGGTAGGTCTCCAGGTTGTGGAATCCGGCGACGTCGAGGCCGTGCTTCAGGTAGGGCGACGACCTGACGTCGAGGCCGAGCTCGAGGCCGACGTGCGTGTACACCCACTCCAGGGTTCCCGTGACGTGTTCGAACCTCTTCAGCCCCTCGTTGAACAGGATGCCGGGCATCTTCGGCACCATGTCTTGCTTCACCACCACCCGCAGAACCTTCACGTTCATCTCCTTCAGCTTCTCCCCGAAGGCGACGTTGCCGACGCGCGGCCCGCCGAAGGATATCACGCTGATCGGAAGGTCCGGGATGGTGGACGCCGACTCGTAGGCGTTGAGCAGAGCCAGCGCGCCGCCCAGGCTGTGGCCGGTGATGGTCAGGCTGACCTCCTCGCCTCTTTGCCTGTAGTGGCTTACTAGCCTCTTGATCTCCTCCATCACCTGCTCCGACGCGCTCGTCTTGTTGTAGCGCGTCCGGTCGCTCTTGGAGGTGTACACGCCGAGGAAGCCGTGCTCGACCTTGACGTCGGCGTGGGCTTCCCCGAACGGCTCCAGCTTCCCCTGCACGTCCTCGAACCACTCGGTGGGCGCGATGGTACCGCGCCAGGCGACGACGATGTCACGGCAGCCGATGCGGCGGGACTCCGCGTCGTCGCTGACGGCCACGTAGCCCATCCAGTTCGACTCCGTGCACCAGGCGTCGGCGTGGAGGGAGCGCTCGAGCCAGCGGGGGAGTTCGACGTGGGACATGGCGTAGACGTTCTTGGACACGCGGTAGCCGTTCCTGGCGAGGCCGAGCTTGTCGAGGAGCCGGTGGCGGCCGTAGAGGCAGCTGCCGCAGAACTCGGAGAGGGGGTTGAAGTCGAAGGCGTCATAGGTCGCCTGCGCGAACTCGCCGTACTTGATGATCTCGCGACGGAGCCAGGGGTGGAGGGGGTTGAGAAGGGGAGACCAGTCGGCGTAGCCGTGGATCTCCGGGAAGAGGGAGGAGATGTCCTCCTTCGGGGAGACAGTAGGGTTGTTGCGGCCGACGGCGGGGGGTGGGAGGCCGACGCTGCGGTCGTCGGGCTTCCTTTCGAGGTGAAGGTGGAGGAGGCTAGAGAGAGTGGCCGGGATGTTGATCAAAGAGCTAGCGCGTCGTTCTCGGAGCGGCGCCGCTTCGACGATGGCGGCAGCGGTGCGGTGAGAGGCGGGGGGCACGAGCGAGGAGTGAGTAGTGGCAAAGAGGGAGAAAGATTGGTGGCGGATGGCCGAGGAAGAGGACAAGGCCATGAACGCAGCTTGTTGTGCACTACAAGAGAGAATGAGAGCTACCGAGTTTGTCTGAGGAGAGGGACAGGAAGGTGACTTAAATAGGTCGATGGCCGAGTTCACCAAATTATTCTAGTCAACAGCTTGACTTGGAAAAAGTCAACACGGTCTCATGACTCAGTATTTTTGTAGCTTATCATGTAAAACACCACAAATAATGTAATTTCATTCATTTTTCCTAATTCAATAACCATTAGAATAAAGATCATCATCCATCAGGTCTTGGAACTGTTCGAATGAGAACAAATATGAACCTGTTCCATTATAGCAACAAAAACAAGAACAATACTAATACTAATAATAAAGGACTAAGTCAAATTTGGAAAAGCATGCGGTAAACAAATATAAACACGACCACAAGAAATTCAAATTTAGAGACAGTTTAAAAGGTCAGCCCAACCATAAGAAAATTAATATTATAAACACAAGATAAGAACTCTCAACATTTAGTCTCACAGGAATGTGTCAAAGTCTCTACATCGCATGGATGTGCAGGGTGGGTGTTTTCACACCGTTCTCCGATTGACCGGAGAGTTTGAGTCAACACAACAATACGTGGGATTTTGGATGCTGCTTTATCCTGCAATCAAAGTCAGCAACCCCACTGATAAGAAATATTTGGCGTCATATATGAGCAGAGCAAAGCCCGAATCATCGTTCCCCAGCAGCAAATGGCGGGGTGGCAACTTGTCACCCCTTGCGGCAAACGACAGGGCGGCAACCTGTCGCCCCAGAAGACCATGACTCGGGGGAAGGCAGGATGGGTTGACCGCTAGTGGCAATAGTTCCCCGGAGACTGAACCTGCACCCCCTCCTATGGTCGAGTCGCATAGAAGACAATCGCTTGGTTGTCGTTGATAGCTACGTAATCATTCGTCACTAATGACGCACCACGAAGTATCATACGGATTAATCGTCCATATGAATACATCACACAAGAATAAATATATGGATCAATTGTCCACGTGAATACGTCACAAAAGGATATACGTTAGTTCTCGTCATTTATTAGTCCCCCTAGGTTTGAATATGGACCGATCTCAAATCAACTGTAGTTTTAATCCCACACGACTAATTTTACCATTGGAGGAGTCGAATTAGGAAATCTCCTCGACGTTAACATCTTGTGTAGGATCTCCGATAAAGCCAAGACATACCTTGAGTCACTCCTAGAACCTCAAAGAGGTCGGGGCCTATCTCGATCCGATTAGGGAGCAACCTCGGATACTTAATTGCCAACTCGGGATTACTTTAGCCTAGCCTTCCCCGACTCCAACTATCTCACTCAATTATCACGTGGGCTACTCGGACAACATTGTGCCTTTGGGATAGAACCAAACAAAGCCGATTGACGGTCGATGACATCAAGACAATAACATTTTGGCACTAGAGGAAGGGTCCAAATATCGTAAGAACATCCACACGTAAACCCCCTTAACGAGTGCTCCAATGAGGAGGCATCGTCACATACACATAGTACCTTTGGGCATGGAGGACATATACCATTCTTCCAATAAGGAGGCATCGTCACTTTTTTTACGATTAGTAGTTCCACCTCTATGGCTGTAGCACTCCTTCGAGTTCACCTCCATTCGAATTGATATTTAGTTTTGGGTAGTTGAGTCTCTCTGGACTCGTTGTCACTTCCTCACCATTTTTGACAACCTACTTCAACACTTTTATGTTCTCCAAGTAATTCTTCTTGGTCGATGGAAAGATAAACTATAACTCCTATATATGGCCTTTGCCATCATATTATATGGCTCGTGTCGATTCTATTCTGCTTAGCTTCCTTGGTAGTAATGTTTGCTTACTCGGCATTGTCTTCTGACTTATTAAGCTTTCTTAAGTAAATATGAGCTCTAAAGTAGTTCAACTCTTTAATTGCTCCAATCATATCTTTGTATGATCAATTCTCACCCATCGGTCTCATTGGTACTTATACTTAAGGTTCCCCCTTAGTGGTACATAATCTCTATATGCTGATAATCAAGACTTTTATCCAATACAACATTCAATGCATGCACAGAAGACTCACTTCTCTAGTATCATGATATTCATTTCTTGAATCCATAGCCCTTCTTGTTGTCATGTTATTTACTAAAGTGAAGCTCTTTGTATCTCTCAATCATACCTCCATATGACTATATCTTTCGCGGAACCTGTCCTGTGTGTATCATATTACCTTGAACTATTTCACCATGATCCACTACACCATGTCACCTCTTGATGATATCTCTATTATATTCAGATCTTCATGGGATGGGCTCAAACAATAATATCTCTAGGTGTGGCCTCTACCAACACATCGTAGGGCCTCTACTACCTCCAATTATATTTGCTTATTTTGTAATCGACATTCATCCACCCTCTCTCAGGCCACACTCAAACGAAGTGCAACTCTAGGATAGTTCATCACATAGTAGCTTTTAAAGTCCATTGACTTCACTGAAATTGATGTGCCATTGTATATATCATAGGTCTTTTGTACCCCCCAACATAATCTTTGTTGTATATCGTTTCCTTCGCAGCAACTCGAATGGTAATACTATGACATATTTTTCAAAAGTACCAATTTCCATGTCCTTTTATCTTATGCCAAGGTCTTTTGTCCTCAACTTCGCCTCTGTAAGTTGAGTCACCTTAGTTCTTCCATCAAATGCTTCTTCAAGATAAGGTGTATGTACCTCAAAGCTCCCTTTGTCTATAGTACTATGCAAGATGAGTTTGCTTCATCAGAACGAGGGACCCATAGAATGACATGATTCGGCTCTTGTCTCTGTAAGAGTTCATGTCCTTGACCAATATCCAAGAAAAGCTTCATGCCTTTATTTCATGTTCTGTCTTTTATTTGACTCCCTTCATGCGGATTGGATACTTTACTAAGTTTTACCCATGTTGTTTTGCCCCTCAGTTTGCATAAAGTTGATGGTGGCTCTCTCACCCACCATTCTATGGGTTAACCCTCAATTGAGTCTGATTTCCACATTGGCTCCAAGTGTGTCTTCGTTTGGTATTACCTTGGGTTGCTTCCTTCACTTGATCTTGTAATATATCCACTAACGTATTACTTCATACAAGATCATGTAACAACTCCTTGTCGCTCGCTCGGTCCATTGAGCTTTGTGAAGTCGTTGTCTTGAAGTATCCCTCATCAACATGTGTAATTTGTTACACATGATTCTACCTCTAGAGAACTGAGATTTATCCCTCTTGGATATCTATCCTATTGGAGCAACTTTCTTCTATGTATTCTTCCCTTTGAAAATTTCAGAGACCACCATCCCCTTTGACTAATATGTCTTATTGAACAAACTATATATTATTTTGCCCTCGTGAATGCACTTGCTAGATTGTAACTCTTCGCCTTTATAGCCCCCATAACACTTCTCAAGGCCTAACAACATGCTGAACTTTCTGTACCCTTTAGCCTCCTACATATGTATCTTTTCCATACCGAAAAAAAAGTTTCAATGCTCTATGGCGTCAAGTTTCGGTCGCCTTATGATAGTCACAGACAATCCATCGTCTACGTACAAGCCTTTGCATGAGTACCAAATTCTTCAAGTTAGAAATTCCCTTCATTTTTGTGAGCTTTATACAACTCTTTCAATCACTGAGCAACCTATCCCACTTTACATGGTTTCATCATTTGTCAAGCACTTCGCTTGCCTTGAGCACCATCAAGTTTGGTTGCCAACGTTGGGTCATAACTTAAACTCAGCCATCTTAACCTTTGTACGTTATAAGTTCTTCCCAGCTTGCTTGTCCTCGTGGTGCCTCTCATGTGAAGGGTTAACCATTCCTCTAAATGCCAATCTCGTAGCCCCATTAGGTCCCCTACATTTGCAAGTCAAGTGTGCTTGTCTTGCTCTGATAATATATATCATGGACTTAGTTGATTTTGCCTAAGTTGTGTGATACTCTTGCATGTCCATCCATAAAGGATCAGCCTCCTCAAAATCTCTTAGGGTCCCTTAAGGACCTACAAATGAGAAGACGAGTTAGAGAAAATATTTAACTCGGGATCTATAAACAATCATTTTAGCAAACACTTGATAGACAAAACAAATTACAAACATGGACTTTGCAATCTCTAAATTATGACAAAAGGCCAAAGTGGTACATCACAAACCAAACAAAATAGGGTCTAAACCTACTGTCAACTCTTCACATACTGTACAAAATATGAACTAAACATAAAGATACACACATAATGAGTATTACATCAAACGCTTCGTTTATAACTTTTTTTCATGATAATGAATTATGATTTACAGAAATTGATAAGGTCAATCCAAACAGGTCAATCCAAACAACATTGTGTGGAGTATTACGAGTATTACATCAAATACTTCATTTATAATTTTTTTTCGTGATAATAAATTAAGATTCACAAAAATTGATAAGGTGAATCCAAACGACCTCGTGTGAACTATTATTCATGCGAGATATATAAATTTTTTTTCACTTTATCAATCTCGTAGTGTTCCAATGACAAACAGAAATTAATTATCAAAATATTTTATCTTAATCTTTTAGCTTGAACGAACAATACTGACAAGAAGACTTTCTTGTTAATACTATTACATGGAATATCCATGACCATCCAAGTCAAACACAATTTCTTCCCGGATTCCTTCCCAAGGAATTGCAAGCACTCATATAGACTTCGTGTGTACTCTTGACAGGAAATCCGAGTTCTCACTTGATCTGATGTGATCGAGATGAGATTTCAAGAAGCACCGTTCCATCCAATTTAATCTAATTGTACAACTACACGCATGATGTGCAGAATCCAATATGGATTCACGGCAATCTAAAGCTGTGCTTCTTCTCTATAAGGCGAAGGGATGTCTTCTGGCTCTCTTGCTGGCTTGACCCATCTGCCGTAAGCATTGCGCACCATGCCCTTGTTGGCCGCCTGAGCCCAGCGTGGTGGTATGTGCAGCTCATCTCGCAGCATTCCACTGGTCTTGTTCACCAGCGCCACGTCCCTCCTCGCGTTCCGCCGGAACTCCTTGTCGGAGCTGAGGAACCCGTCCACAAGGTGCAGGTAGGTCTCCAGTTTGTGGAATCCGGCGACGTCGAGGCCGTGCTTCAGGTAGGGCGACGAGCTGACGTCGAGGCCGAGCTCGAGGCCGACGTGCGTGTACACCGACTCCAGGGTTCCGGTAACGTGCTCGAACCTCTTCAGCCCCTCGTTGAACAGGATGCCGGGCACCTTCGGCACCATGTCTTGCTTCACCACCACCCGCAGAACCTTCACGTTCATCTCCTTCAGCTTCTCTCCGAAGGCGACGTTGCCGACGCGCGGCCCGCCGAAGGATATCACGCTGATCGGAAGGTCCGGGATGGTCGACGCCGCCTCGTGGGCGTTGAGCAGAGCCAGCGCGCCGCCCAGGCTGTGGCCGGTGATGGTCAGGCTGACCTCCTCGCCTCTTTGCCTGTAGTGGCTTACTAGCCTCTCGATCTCCTCCATCACCTGCTCCGACGCGCTCGTCTTGTTGTAGCGCGTCCGGTCGCTCTTGGAGGTGTACACGCCGAGGAAGCCATGCTCGACCATGACGTCGGCGCGGGCGTCCCCGAGCGGCTCCAGCTTGCCCTGCACGTCCTTGAACCACTCGGTGGGCGCGATGGTGCCGCGCCAGGCGACGACGATGTCGCGGCAGCCGATGCGGCGGGACTCCGCGTCGTCGCTGACGGCCACGTAGCCCATCCAGTTCGACTCCGTGGACCAGGCGTCGGCGTGGAGGGAGCGCTCGAGCCAGCGTGGGAGTTTGACGTGGGACATGGCGTAGACGTACTTGGACACGCGGTAGCCGTTCCTGGCGAGGCCGAGCTTGTCGAGGAGCCGGTGGCGGCCGTAGAGGCAGCTGCCGCAGAACTCGGAGAGGGGGTTGAAGTCGAAGGCGTCATAGGTCGCCTGCGCGAACTCGCCGTACTTGATGATCTCGCGACGGAGCCAGGGGTGGAGGGGGTTGAGAAGGGGAGACCAGTCGGCGTGGCCGTGGATCTCCGGGAAGAGGGAGAAGATGTCCTCCTTCGGGGAGACAGTAGGGGTGTTGCGGCCGATGGCGGGGGGTGGGAAGCCGACGCTGTGGTCGTCGGGCTTCCTTTCGTGGTGAAGGTGGAGGAGACTAGAGAGAGTGGCCGGGATGTTGATCAAAGAGCTAGCGTGTCGTTCTCGGAGCGTCGCCGCTGCGATGGCCGCGGCGGCGGTGCGGTGAGAGGCGTGGTGGCGAATGGGCGAGGAAGAGGACAAGGCCATGATCGCAGCTTGTTGTGGACCACAAGAGCGAATGAGAGATGTCACTTTGTTGTCCGAGGAGCGGAACGGGAGGGTGGCTTAAATAGGTCGATGGGCGAGTTCACCAAATTATTCTAGTCAACAGCTTGACTTGGAAAAAGTCAATACGGTCTTCTCATGACTCAGTATTTTGCAGCTTATCATGTAAAAACACCACAAATAATGTAATTTCATTCATTTTTCCTAATTCAATAACCATTAGAATAAAGATCATCATCCATCAGGTCATGGAACTGTTCGAATGTGGACCATTTCATCAAGGGTTGGAAGTTGGAACCATTCCTATATAGCAACCACAACAACAATAATAATAATGATGTGAGTGCATAAAGTCAAATTTGGAAAAGCGTGCGGTAAACAAATTTAAACACAACCACAAGAAATTTAAATTTAGAGACAGTTTAGAACGTCAGCCCAACCACAAGAAAATTCATATATAAACACAAGATAAGAACTCTCAACATGATCCAATTTTAGTGTCACAGGAATGTGTCAAAGTCTCTACATCACTTGGATGTACAGGGTGGGTGTTTTCACACGCTTCTCTGATTGACCATGACAACCAGAGAGTTTGAGTCAACACAACAATACATGGGATTTTGGATGCTGCTTTATCCTACAATCAAAGTCAGACAACCCCGCACCTTCGGTTCCCAACTATTATACATCCTTAAGATCCCCCAATAAACTCAGGCAGGGTAGGTTTCACCTCGCAAGAATAAAAGATCACCATCACCATCACCATGTTGTCATGATTGTTGCTGTTTGTGATGCATCAGATTTTATAACTTGAATGGGATGTCAGCAATCTTCAAATTATGTTCATTAAACCCTCCATGGTCCTGTGACATGCCAACTAGAAGCTCATACCTGCAAAACTAGAGCAACATAAAATTCCTATCTAATCAATCACCCATTATATTTAACTCCACACAGCGAGTCACAATTCATAGTCCTGAATGCAAAACAAAGTAAACTAAGCCAGTCTTTTTTATCACTGCCTAATCAGAGTCAACTCTATTTCCATCGTTATCTCCAGAAAGTGTAACACGCAAAATATTGTCATACTATACATGTAAATGGTAGTACAAAAAGCTACCTGATGCAAGCAAAATTGAAATAGACTGCCAATAACAGGCAAAGCATCAAAGTGAAAAGAGGGCAAAATAAAAAGTTGGAAAGAAGACACAGATACAATAAATTTACATGGAAAAGAGCATTTCAACTAAAATATTGACTAAAGTTCATCTTATAAAATGGTCTTAACTACAAGATGACTAAAGAGCAACATAAATCATGAAAACAAAGAATTTCTTATGATTTAGACATTTTATAAAAAAAAACTAAATTGGATTATAAATTAGATCTTCTAATAGGGGCATGAGTTGAAAAAAGAATTGACTAGCTATTTAAAAAGGACATTCAATTGTCATCACAACTAGAACTTGTCACATTCCGGTGATTTAAAAAACGCTAGGCGTTAAAAGACGCTAAGGTCCCAAAAAGCTTAAGACGCTCGCCCGAGCGAAATGAGACACTATGAAATATTAAAATATAAAAAATATATAATATAATTAAAAATATAATTATTTAAATAAAAAATATGATATTAAATTTAAAACATACTGTTAACAGTATACTACTTAAGTTAGAGGCGGAGAAAAAAAATTTCTCTGAAATATTAAAAAATTTAAAATATATAATATAATAAAAAATATAACTATTTAAATAAAAATATGATATTAATTTAAAATATACTATTAACAGTATATTAATTAAAGTTAGAGGGGGGAGAAAAAAATGTTAACAGTAATAGACAGAGATAGCAGTATCAGCAGAGGATTAGTTTAAGATAGTTGCAGCAGTGCTACGAACGACAAAAGTGGCAGTGGCGGAAGCTGTGAATAGCAACGGCGACAGCGAGGGAAGTTGCAGACAATAACAGTGACAATGGCGAAAGCTGCGGACAATAACAACGACAATGATGAAAGTTGCAGACAGCAATAGCGACAGCGACTAAAGCTTCGGAGGGTGTTCGTCGGTGGCAGAGGAACCTACAGTCCTCTTCCTCAACAATGGAAGGAAGCGACGACGGAAGGAAGCTAAGGGGGTTGTTGGACTCATCCGTCGACGACAAAGGAAGGCTTGGTTCATTGCGTCTATGGCGGAGGCAACGGCAGAAAGCGTCGACGGTAGAGGTAGAAGCAACGCTAGGGTTCCTCGGGGTCGCGCGGGCATGAAGCGTGGCTTTTAAGGTAAGAAACTACGAATCGAACCAGACTTAAACCGGTTTGGTTCGCTTAATTGAATTGGGCGATCGCCCTAAGCGCCCAACGCCTGGGTTCGGGCGAGTGCCCAAGCGGTGCCTCATTGAAGTGCGTCGCCTGGTCCACACACGAGGGTATTAACATATAACATGCCTAGTGCCCAAGCGGCGCCTCATTGAAGTGGTCGCCTGGTCCACAACGCTTGGGAACATCATCATATGACATGCCTAGTTCCACAAAATCTTTCTGACACCAGGGTATTAACATTATCTGTGAAGTTCCACTCATGACTCAACAACCATGCTTATTAGTTGCTAATTGATGAGCATTTCTGCTATATCAGGCACTTCTTTTTGCTTCCTGGTTGATAATAACATTACAGGTTTCATGCAGAATAAAAGCTTTGGCCCTAGTTGAAGGTTACTACTACAACAACACTAATCAATCATCAATTCTGCTATATCGGGCACTTCTATTTTCTTGCTGGTTGAAAACAATATTTCAGGTTTTGTGCAGAATAAAAGGTTTGGGCCTAATTGAAGGTTACTACTATAACAAACAACAATAACGAGCCTTAAAGTCCCAGCTAAAATTTTTAGAATGAGGACTATAACAAAGCCGTTCTGCATTATGAAACAACTACATCAAATGAAAGACTCAATAACAGTACACATAATGTATAAAATACTTAAGCAAGTATTTGTGTTGTCAATATTAATACTGTCTTAAACTTGGTGCTTATTATTTTAGTACTGCTCTTAGCTTAAATCATGCTTGACATACAAAATGGTTACTGAAAAGCAACATTAATATATTATTTTGTACTGACCAGTCATATGGGTAGAACAATTACTGGTCGAAATTTAAATATTACTCCTCTTCATCAAAGTCCATAAGGAAATCAGTTAAGTTCTCTGAGTCATCTATAGCCTCTTCTAGAGACATGGAGCCTTCCTTCTTTGGTTTTTCCTAGACAAAAGGAAAAAACCAGAACATAAAATTTCAAAAAGAATAGCTTGATTAAGATGCGAGAAAAAAGTTATCAGAGTAGCATTAAAAAGAGGTTACTATGATATTATGCCATTATTTAACACAACTGCAATGCTTCTCAAAATTTTCCGAAGATTTTGGTATGATAAAGACTTCGATAATCATCATCATGTGTCTTTCCATCAAAAATAGTCTAGAGCACAAACTTACAACCTAGATGGCAATATGGTAGAACTGAAAAGCCTCTTAGAGCATGTTATCCACTTCAAAATTATCACATCAACAAATGGTTCCGAACCTTAGATAAGGTATATTTTTCAGAATAACCAACCATAATATGCAGAAAGTTGGATCTAAAGCAAATCTATCTTGGGTGGACCTTAAAAATATCTTGAGTCAGTTACTACTTGAAGTTAGCCTGATAAAAGATCAATTCAAGCCTTAGGTAATGTACATTTAGGAAAGAGTGCCAGTCATAATACGTAGATGGTTAGATAAAAAATACTGTAACACCCCAAAGTTTAGTCCCACATTCGAATGGGTAAAATCTTGAATTGGTATCTAAGGAATTGATGGTGTATTACTATTAACTTGGACTCGTGCATTTTGGGCAAGTGGTTCATACTCCATAAACTAATCAAATGGTTATCTTATTGGTTCCAGTCGTGACAAATACAGCTATTATCTTGAATATAGTTGTTAAGTTCATTAATTAGAACATAGCAAAATACCATAAATGCAACAGTAGGAACATAGTTTTTAATTAATGCATAAAAGAAATATAAGGTCCTTTGAGCAAGCTATGAATGTAAGATATGAAGGACTGAAAGCTTATGTGACTCCACCACAAAACTTTTCAAATATCCAAAGATGTATCCTACACTAAAATTTTCACCTACATACTAAAAAAGAGGTCTTTACACATCTGTAGGTACCTTTGAGTTGTGCAGCTGAGGAGTAGTTTTAAGAACGCTCCAGTTACGAGTAATTTTCTCCTCAACTTTTTCGTCTTCTTCCTCACTCTCATCTTCATCCTGTCTCAAAAGAATAAACACAGATTATATGGTTTGCAGAATTAGCAAGAACTAAAGAAGATGAAAGTCCTTGACATTTGAAGACTGCTTCTGAATGATAGCCCCAAAAGGTGCAAGTTCGAATCCTAAATTTTCCGAGTTACCTAACTGAGAGCACAAAGATTAACAAGTTTCACTCACATCATCCTCTCCAATGTCAACAGCACTTGCCATAGCTTCATCCATGTCAGTGACCTGCGGTAGTGGTTATGGCAGTAAGAGATTCAAGTTGCATCAAAAGTGGCCTGGCTTGGAACTCTATTGGGAACAAAAAGATTAACTACCTCTAGTTCTTGGGTTTTCTCCTTGGCCAAAATTTTCTCAAGCTCCTGCCTTGGTATTATTTTCCCTTGCTGAGATAAACAAAGGCATTAAACAGCAGACTGCTGAATTTGATTAACAAAATTTTCCAGACTCCAGAGAACCACTCTGAAGTACATAACAAGTGATAACAAGTGGTCATTATGTACCAAAAGCTTCCATAGCTATCTGGTCATGCAAAAGATAAACAAAGCTAAAGAAAAGTTGCTAAACACATCATAGTATTTGAAGCATCATGCATGAAGGAACATATTCCATTCTGGAACAAAGATTATCATTGATTTTTTTTTTGAAGTATGGCTAAAAAAGGTCAGTCCAATGCCGGAATATCCCACTATTGCAGGGTTTGGGAACTTGTACGTAGCCTTACTCTTAGTTTTTCAAAGTGTGCTCATGCAAAGAGGGTAACATATACTCTCTGCAACTTAAAGATTTGACCTGATTTACCCATCCCAAGTGTGCTTGGCATGTACAACAGTGTCGACAAAAAGAGTAGCTAGAATCATCACATATGGTAATAATCAGATTTAAGAGTTTTTCCAACATTTAAGATATGGAATATCTTATGTTTGGAAAACAAAGGCCAAAGCTACCACGAATGATACTAATGATACTTACAGGTAATTTTTATTTTCTACCAATCACTATTTTCTAAAGAAGGTTTCTACTAAGATCATGAAGTTCAGGTAGACATAAATGTAGCAGAGCAAAGAATATCAGCTAGAAAAGATTTTGAGGTCCTAGGGATGCCAACAAACATAATAATTTATCACATTAGGTGTGCTACATAAACATAGTTTCAGTAGATAAATGTTGGCATGTCAAACATAGATCTAAGATAGTGACAATTACAATCATTCAGTGTTCTCAAAATTGGAACCGTATTATAAATCATACAGAGTCTTAGATTGGATCAAATTGTTTAAGATTTTGTTTGGTAATGGTTTTAGTACAAATATTCAAGATGAATATTACATTGCGACATAGGAAGTAGCTGAAAACTAGATGAATAGAATAATATAAGTATCATCTCTAACAAGCATAAGTAACAAGCTCCATTTTCATGTCTAACATATTCAATAAAAACAATATATTTTTTAAACCAAAATTCCTTAATTGAGGATGTTGAATCTCAGATTTTGATGATGAAATCAATTGATGAGTTTATGATCTAATCTGTATTTTGAATGACGCAGGACTAACTTCGATCAGAAAAGGTAAATCAATTAAAGCAGGAGGAATCATAAGTTAGGCCGAAGTTGAACATGTCAAAAGATTAGACATTGGACCAGAGGAATGGTCGACGTGTCAGCAGAAGACTTCATGCCGTGAGTTCGGGCATCGGGCCAGAAGGATCGGACATTGCGCCAATGAGATCAGGTGTTGCGGATGTCAACATACCGATTGAACAATATGCCGCAAGAGAGGACAATGCGCCGAAGGTATGGACGAAGCACCGGATAACCAATAACATGTCGGACAACTTAGTATTCTTGCTTGTAATAATTTGTCTAGATCGAAGTAGTTTAGAGGGCTAATTGAGTTGGTTTCGGGTGTAACCATGCCAACTCAATTAGGGGCCAACTGGGCCCAAAGTGAGGCTATTTTGGGCCAAGAGAAAGGTCCATTCGGTGATCCAAAGCTACGTCAAGTGATGGCACTACCGAAGCTGAATGTGGAACCGCTTGAGGCTCGACCTCCCAGGCAGTGATTTAAAAAGCGCTAGGCGCCAAAAGGCGCTAAGGTCCAAAAATGCTCGAGGCGCTAGGCGCTCACCCGAGCGAAGCGATGCGCTAAAATATAAAAATATATAATATAATTAATAAATATAATTATTTATAATTTATAATTTCAAATAAACCTAATAATATTAACAGTATATAGAAGGAGAAGAAGGAAGAGTGTAAGGGGGTGCAGACTGCTGACTGAGAAAAGAGGAAGCGGCAGCGGGAGCTGGAGCGGGAGAGTAAGGAGGCAGCAGTAGCGGGAGCGGGAGTATAAGGAGGCTACGGCAGCGGGAGTGTAAGGAGGCAGCGGGAGCGGCGACATCAGCAGCGGCGAGCAGCGGGAGCAGGAGCAGGAGCGGCGACAGCGGCAGCGGCAGCGGCAGCGGTTGCGAAGGAGAGAAGGGGTGTAAAAGGGTAGTTCATCTTCGCCCATTGAAAGAAGATCGGATAGTGGAAGTCGATGGCCTCGAGTGAAAAGGAATCGGGAGTGGACGTAGGTCACGATGACCGAACCACTATAAATCGGTTTGCATTTATGTTTTGCTGTTTACCTTTATTACAAACTACTTTACTTCCTCATTACTTTAGCTATACGCTATTACGAACGTTTTCAAAGTTAAACACTCCTTGATACAGTTTTATCGAACGAAGATTTCCGACTCTACTTAGTTTTTACGTACACACTAATTCCCCCCCCCCTCTTAGTGTCGTATTGATCCTAATAAAGGAAACATTTCTTTAGCTAAGATTTCCTCAATGAGTTAACACAATGACGTATTTTGCTGAAAGATGGGGGCATAATCTCAAATAAAAGATTAAAAATTAGATCCAAAATTATCAAGTTTTACTTTTACCTATTCTTAAAAGTTAAAACATTAAATTATTTGGATGTCTTATAAGATTATTCTAGCAAAAAAAATCATTCTAATAAATGGAAAGATTTTAGTAAACCATTAACACAATTGATTAATCAAATCACAAAAACATAGAATAATCAAAATGAATCTAATTGTTTAATGTATTACATAAAAATATACCTGTTTGTTATAATCATACGATACTGATCCAATTAAAGAATTAAGACCATTTAGGACCATTTTGATTTAATAAAAAAACTATGACTACTAAGGTTGGCAGCTCAACATGACTCACATTAATAGGGTCTAGAACTTCTTCAGAAGGATCTCTTTTGCTATTAACATCTTCTATAAAAGAGGTGTCAGGACAAGAGATAGAACTAGTTATTGTAATCAAGGATATCTTGAAACCTGAATTCATGACAATATGTAAAGAGCTGCAAAATATCTAGGTACAATGTTATGCTTATCGTAGTATTTTACATCAGAAAACTAGCAAAAGACCACACTCTACCTCCATAAGATAAGCCAGCATATTTGGTGTCGGCTCATGAAAATCCGGTCCCCTGTAATCAATTACTTCATCAGGATCTTGAATATAATTGATAGTCGGATAAACAGGATCACCACCCCATACTGCAAAAGAACAATAGATGAATAAAGTTATAGTTTACATTGGGCCAAAGAACGCATATGCCAGGTAACTAGACGAATCTGCTTATAAGAAATCCGACATAAAGGAATTAAAATTTTCATGGTGAATTTATAAGCAGCAACTTGCCATCTATCGCAAAGACATTAATTGATGAATATGGCAGCACGATAAAATCTTGACTGTGTACATGTAATAAGTCCTCTATGCATGTTCATGCAATCACTGCATTTAGTGGATATAAATATGGTAAAGAAACTAATCTAAACTGCTTTTGAGCATTTTCAAGAAGGATAGAGATAAGTTGCTGTGTATATGATGAGTTCACTTTCCAACCTTGACCACATTCATGTTATTTCATAAAAGTTATGCCATTTAACTAAAGATTTAAAAAAATAAAGTTTAGATAAACAACACAAGTTGTCTAGTGCGACAATCATGGATTGATGTAACATAACCATAATGGGCCCACAGAATCGAAGCACCCTCCAAAGTTTGCTTTTACTTGTCAAGGACTGGTCAATCAGGTGTTTTTAGTGGGCAGAGTTCAGATTGGATCCACCTATGACCTAAAACTATATCATATAAGAGTAGTGTTCTAATGCAGGTCTAGATACAGTAATTATCATATATGAAGACATACAAAATTTTATGCATGCTATCTAGTATGAATTGAGGATCTACACCTGATCCAATGATTTACATGGATCCAATTCTAAGAAACAATGTTATCAGGTCAGTTAAACATAGTATCAGGACCCATGGATGCCCGTGTTTAATAGTTTATAACTACTAAAAGCTGAATAGCATTCTAGGTTAAAATCTTCACTTGATCTGTCAAGGGATCAGGGTCCTTGAACCTCTCAGGTCTGCAATGAGAATGTCCTGTGACTTCACAACTGGGGTACATACAAGAACATCCAGCATGAGCATCAACAGTGATCAAGAGGAGCTCACAAGCACTGAAGCACAACAAGGTTAAGCGTACAACAGGGACTGAGAAGAGCCTACAGTGATGAATAAGCGGTACACCCACTCCCAACCCCCTTTAAGTTTTTTTTGGTCTCTGCAAGCAGACTGATGACATGAAGCACACATAAACATGGCATCTGTTGGCCAACACAGAGCATTCCACCAGTAAGGCAAAGCATGGCTCTACAACATTGGAAGAAGTTAAGTCTTGACAAGAATCAGGTTCACAATCACATCAGAGGCGTTTATCATTTTCGCAATACCAAGTAGAATATAAAATGTATTCAAGCATTGCAATGACACCAGTGATTCCATTTAGCTAATGATAGAAGAATGGAAAAGAGTTAATCAAGTAAATTATCATAAGAAACTGAACAAATTGTCATACTCTCTTTGATTAGATCTTCTCGCATCCGCATTGCTAATGGATCTCGCTTAATGCGAATGTCAGTGCCCATCATGATGCGATATTCTTCGGCAGTTTGATGTTCAAACATTTCGATTAGTTGAATGTTCTCATCCTCACCAGTTTCTTCATAGTGTTTCTGTACAGCCTCTCGTGAAATGTCCCTGTCCCATGCTTTGACCCATTCTGAATAGTATGCTATTGGCCCAATTTCTTCCAATCTCCTCTGTTCTGCTAGTAGTCTACAACATCAGCCAAAAAGATACTTGAGAAAAGACATGAGATAGAAAAAAGGTAACAGCTGCTGCTGTTATTTTGGAAAGCATAATTTGGAAAAGCCAAACTAAATTACATTACACAATCTGCTTCTTCCAGAAAATGAGAAGAATATTCCCACCCAATTATTCTGCACAAGCTTGACAATTACCAACCACATCATCCAACGAAATGGTTGATGATTTACAAAATTCCCAATATGGGGTAACTAACAGGGTGCTGAAAGGTATATTATTTTTAACTCTTAAACTAAATAACACCTACTAACAGACATCACTCTCTTCCTTTTGGTTCTTTCTTGCATCTCATTAAACATATTCTATTCTCGAAAACATTCAACATTTGACCACACTCTTATGTCCCAAAGTCATGAATTTTTGGAGCCTCATAACTGTGAAATAATTATTAGCCTCTTATAGTAATGGAAGAATTTAAAAATCTTTAAAAAGAGTTATAATGAAGCATATTAGTGAAGCATAACACCACATGTTAACCATATCTTAAGTAATTTCAATCCTTTCGGCCATAAGCAATGGTCTCGCTTATCTGAAAAAAATAGTAATACCGTTGCTATAAAGTTGAGCACTTCCATTTACATAACAGGCTTTGAAAATATAATGGACATTATAAACACCAATATTTTATTTTTCAGTTCCCATGATCATCAGAGTATATGCATGTATTATAAAAGAAGTAGAAGCACATCAGCTTGTTTATATCATACTCCAATTCAAGCAGGAATAGAACTATGGGCTCTGATTTGCAGCATCTGACCATATGTACCTTTCCTCCTTGAATATATGCCTTCTTGCTCTTGCAAGAGCAGTTTCAGTTTGTGTTGGGTGGTCCCCATACAACTCTATTTGCCCAGTTTCTGCCATAGCCTTTGCAAAAACCTGCATAGATGTCATGAACTCTGATTAGTCATCATCATTTGCAGAATGGATAAAAGAACTTTAGAGTTCTGATTTTGACAACTTAATGCGAGCTACAACAACCTGCCAAATGGAGTTAGTCATCTTTTGATATATGGTGTGATGACAAAGGTGATTTTTCCTCTAAATAAATTCACTGTTTTTATAATCAAAACTAACCGTGTCAACATCTGGACGCCTCCTTTGCCACCTTGACCATTGCTCTTTTTCTGGTTTTCGCCAATTCCACCAAAGATCTTCACTCGTACGAGGCTCTTCTATGGGTTTATCTAAAGCTGGATCAACAAATGGATGTGGTAGTCCCATTTCTTTGTCCAACTCATAAGAACTCATGTTCTCTTGCTCTGGTTCTGTCTGATAAATAACATATGCTTCAGATGGGTCTTTAGGTTCATCAACAGAACCGTCTGGCTCTGATGTCTCAAGAACAGGTTGGTTGCTCATATCTGAAATAGTTTCTGCAGCTTCTGAAGCAGTTGCCTGGCCCTTGTATTTCCTCCGCCTGCTACCAGGATTTTTACCATATGAAGGCTTCCCATCAGACTTGCCAGGAGGTTCTGGGGCCCTGGCAGCAGCCACACGACTAGCTGTTCCTTCAGGCCAATATTCCCTTCCAGGTATGCTTGCTCGGGCACCAGATGCTGGTTCAAGCTGGCCAGACGTTGAATCCATGTAACTATAGTATGGTGGTGGTTCGATCGATGAAGGATCAAATTTCCCATCCTTATTTGCACATTTAATTTCATGAAATATTTTGTCCTTTTTCCAAGAGGATGGACTTGATTGAATAAGAATGTTTTGCTTCCTTGAATTGTTTACACCTACGAATGGTGTCTGGAACTGTCAAATAATGAATTAGTTAACATGTCGTGTAACCAATAGGTTGCTATAATTAATTACAGCTCAAGCAAATTGCTGAAAAGCACCAGATTTCTAGCCCAAAAAGATTGGTCTTATGTTAAAAGAAATAGATTTAACATTCTGATATAAACAAGGAGTGTATGATCTCAAGTAAAAACACACGTTAAAAATAATGATATTTCACATACCTGGAACTTTCTACTACAGGGTTTCACATAAATACCAAAATCAACTGACCTTAAATTCCCCACCAACTGATCTGCTAAGCCATAAATAAATAATAAAAAGCATCATTCCAGACTGGCAATATCAAGGAATAATATTATAGGATAATGCACCTCGAAAGAGCCATGAATGCGAGAAGGATGCCATCTTTCTGAATGCTAATTCTTGCTTCTTGTTTCAAAAGTATTCTCAAATCAACATCCACCTTCTGCAATTGAGAAAACTATATTAATAAGGGAATATTTGATTCTATCTTCAAAAAACAATTTTAAAATGTTAAACAAAAAGAAAAAAATTGTTTGACTGAGTAGTTTTTGGTTTCAGTTTTAAAAATGAATCGAAATTTGTTTCTAAAATCTAATAGTATAAAACAATATCATTTGTTCTCTGAATCGATTCTCAATACTCTCAGCATCTATTAGTCGCCCGACCCTCTCCCTCTCCCTCTCCCTCTCCCTCGACAGCTGCTCGAGGCACGCCACCAACCTGCATGCCACCAATTCGCTGCAGGAACATCTCCATCCTTCTCCTCTTGTCTAGCTAGTCTCCCTCCGTCCTCCCCGCATTATCTCACGCTAATCCAGTCCTTCGCCTACAGTCGTCTCAACTAATAGCAATGGTTCAAGAACGATACCGAAAAACAGTTCTTGATCGTTTTCTGAGAACAAACCCAACCGGGTCCTTAATGTCGATGCACCAGATTAAATACGAAATTAAAAGGAATCGAAATGAATCCTTCCATTTCCCCTGGCGCTCGTAAGCAAGAAATCGCGATCAGAACACCCAACCAAACTCAAGAAGGTGGTCTCCAAACGCACGAAAAAAATCCAAGAATCGACTTGAAAGAAATAAAATGCGGAGAATCCTAGCGTTTACAAGCATAAATTCGCGATCAAAAGTGCCTGACAAAGTTCAAGAAATTAGACCCTGAACGCACGAAAAATCCAAGAAAACCAATGCAATTCCGCAACAACTCTCTCGGATTGAACCCAATAACAGGGAAGGCGACTTCCGGAAGAGAAGATTCGGAGAATTACCTCTCTTCCGTCTCCCGAAAGTTTAGGGTTTTAGCATCGAGAGCGATCTCGCAGGGAGACGTTGCGCAAGAAGCTTATCCTCAGTCACAGGGGCCATATAGATAAATGGGCCGGGTGGAAGGAACAGATAACTTGAACCCGACCCGATCGAATGCCGGCCCAATGGATTTGGTAAGAATCGTACACCAAACGTGGAGACTGGGCTGGGCCAATAATAGCACACCACGTCACCCAAACGTCGAAACCGTGAACCCTGGTTTCCATTAGACAGGGGCGCGTCATCGTTCCGGCTTCCAGTCAACCATGGTGGTCAACGATGACGCTGTTTCGTCCCCGACAATTGACCCGCTTGCTGATCGGATCACTCGCGCAGGGCCCACTCTCTCGCTCTCAGCGAGACGGACCGCGTGACCTGCAGCCGCACCTGTTCAAATTTCTACCGCAATAAACAAGTCACTATACATATAAATAAACCGCCTCGCGTGTGCGATCTCATCACACGCGCTCTGACCCACACCGTACGACGCCGAAGGAGACGCCTCTGAGGCGTCACATGCCCCCACCACCCCGGTGTCATCAGACGGCTGCCGCGGCCCTCTCGATCACATCCGACGGACCTGATCACGTCCGTATATTTCCCCGATTTCGGTGCCCATACCCGCACGTACTTTTCGCTGCGCCAAAATAAAAATAACCACTCACCGCACATGCTAAAGACCGACGCTCCTTCCCACTAGTTCCCGAGGCACCCTCGAAACCACCCGGACCACAGTTGGGGGATTCCATCGGTCCCACTCGCCCCGTCCGTCCCCCAAAGTGCGGTACTTTTCGTGGGTCGCGAGTTGGGCCATCGTACATAGGAGTATTAAAGGGCGCGTGGTACGACGGGCGATGAATGACAAAACTTGCACGCGACGCTGTAAAAAAAAAAGGATTTAAAGTGACGGGAGAGGAGCGGCGGGTGAAGCGTGCGGATCTTTTGACTGCTCTCGAGATGGGCGAGGGCGCGATCGGGACCGTAGGATTACGGTTCGGTGGGCGTGATGGAGGGATGGGATGGTGGTAAATGATGTGGGTCTGCGGTGAGCGTACCTGAATTATTATTTTATGGTTATAATACGGGGTTCTTTTGGAAAGAGGCGATTCCTCGTACGACGAAAGAAATAAATAAAAGAAAAAGAAAAAGAGATGTGTGATTTGACATAGTTGCCCTTTTAATTAAGACAGGTTCTTGATGACAATATAACATGTCTTGGGGGCACAATTATGATAATAATAATAATAATAAAAGGGAAATTTGTGTCACTAAGATGTAAAAAAGAGGAAAAAAGTAGAAGTAAATAATAATAATAATAATAATAATAATCAGTCATATATTTTGATATATGTCATTTTCTTCTATCATCAATGTTAATCGATTTATCTCGTATAGCTACAATATTTATTTTTTAGTTTTTGAAATGTATCATATTTTTTCATAATTTTAGTAGTATTATTTTTTTTTATTCAATACCTAGAATCTATCCAATCAACTATCCTTTTTAAAAAAAAAATCCATGTTACCATAGATCAATCTATACGGTGAATCGGTTTAATTATAATATTATACTATGTTATAGTTTTTACGATATATTATAGTATTTTTTTTATATTATGTTATATATATTTACAATATATTATAGGATTTTTAGTAATAATGAAAATAACACTATATGCTATGTAAAATACTATAATGTAATAATTTTACTGTATTATAATATTTTCTTAATATTATTGAAATTATCATACGAAACTAAAGAAAAAAAAGAGGAAAAATAGATAGATGATTGACTGTCAAATGAAAATTTTTTAGATATTATTTAAAAAATATTATCAGCAATAATTTTACTTGATTAGAAGAGATGAATATTATTAAATATCATTCAACTATTATTATTCAATGAAGAAAAAAAATACTAGCATTAGTACGTGACTCAAATTCTTACTAAACTTGAAATTAAAATAAACACATTTTTACATTTTACTTTTATCAATAAACTTGAATTTTGCATTGGGAACAACATAATATATTATCAAACAACAATTAATAGGATATATTACTTGTTTAATAAGAACAACAAGATGATGTAGTAATCTGATAAGGGAGGGCATTTTTGTCCATGAGAAATGCAATGCTGACGGGGAAGACTACTCCCTATAAGGAGGAGGAAGGCTTTGCCAAGTTTCCCAAAAGAAGGGCAGTTCCGTAAATCAGACCAAAGTTTAAGGGCGTATACGTAATTAGAAAAGCGAAAAAGCGTAAAAATAAAACATAAATTAGAAAAACCCTGTCCAATTTCCGAGCGAATCACGATCACGTACAAAAAAACACGAAAAATAAAGCTGGGGAAAAGGAGAAGAAAATAATGGCGGTCTTATACTGAGTGATTGGATGGAAGAAGGAACGGAGAGGGAGCCACTAGGAACTCTCTTCGTCTCTCTCTATCTCTTCCTCTCTTTCCCTTTTGTGCTCTCTCGCCTCAATCCAGCTGCCGAGAGAAATCGACGTCTGTTGCGGAATTGCCCTCCAAAATGCTCGTTTTTAGGGGCTTCTTGGCGCTGAACAAGGGGATCTGGAGCTCACGGTGTTCAAAATGAGGCCTTTCCGAGCGAGAAAGGTCAAGTTTTAGGTTCCGCGGGCTCTTGGTTCGATTTCCGCTGGAAGAAGCCTGATCTTTGTGGTAGGAGGCTTTGCAATGGAGCTCCAAATGGAGGTTTGGAGTGACGAGAGGAGGAAAGGTGGGATCTTTTGAAGACTGGAGTACGTTTGTAGCACTTTGTTAAGCTTGTTTTGTAGTTTCGAGTTGCTACGACTGTTTCCGAGGCGAGATCTGAAATGTTCTTTGTTCTACCACCGGGTTTTGCTCGAGCGCCTTAGTTTCCGTGCAAGCTTTAGCTGTTTCGTGCGAGGTTTAAGCCCTAGAGCTTGCTAAAAGCTCGGGATTTGTTCGCACTTCGAAGCGTCGGAAGGAGATTTCTTTCCGAGTACATGAGCTTGGGCTTTGGGACGGAAACATTAGTTCTGAGTTGAAATTTGTGGGGTCTTGAGTTGCAAGGACTTTGTTGAACTCTGGAGGTTGAAGATTCGGAACCGTAGGGTTTGAAAGAAGCGTTGGACCTGATGAGAGTGGAAGCGAGCGTCTCTTGCAGCGGAACTGGCTTTGGATGAAGCTTTAGTTGGAACTTAATGTCGCAAATGAAGCTCTGATGTCGTTTCCTTTGACTCTCGTTCTCTGTTCCGTAGCTAAAGACCGGGTCCTACTTTTTGGACTGAAGATCTGAACAGGGTATGCCAATAAGCTTATTGCGCATAAAGAATGGTTTTTGCGCCATGGTGTGTCGTCCATTGAAGCTTTCTCGTGTTTGTTGAAGATAAAGTCCAACTGTGTTCCTCATTTTTCTTTCATTTCGCATCAAGCCTGTCCATACCTTCATTATGAGGCTTTCATCTTCGGGTCTTCCTCAGCAGACACAAGAAGGTGAGTTTTGTGACCTGTTTTTCTTTTATTTGAACAAGACTATTAAAAAGCTAAGTTAAATTCATGGTTCTTTTTGTTTTCAGAGTCGGGGCATAATAGGTTATCATTTTATTTGATTTTCTTGATTGGTTGCAGTTGAGTCTGTGATGGTATTTCCCTTGAGGTTATTGGTTTTATTAGATTCAGAGAATTTATCTGCTTTCTAAATCTAAAACAACTATTTCCCTGGTGTACCAATTTGCTAGTCTGGATTCTCATTTTTGGTGAAGAAAGACTTGAGTTGTTTTGCATGCCGAAGTGATATCTGTTCTGTGTTCAACGTTTTGCAAGTTTTTCTTTGACAAGAACATGCAGCCTTGCTTGATAGCTGTAGAAATGTGTAATTTGTAATGCGCACCAATGAAAAGAAGCATTTGTTTTTGTGTTTTATCTTCAAATTTGTTGGTTAACCAAACAAAATGATGCCAGGAAAAATCAAATGAAGAAGTGTTCTTTTACACCTGTGTTTTTTTATACCTGTAACTCTCTTGGTTAGTTAGAAAAGAAGATATTAGGGAAAATATGATTAAAAAATCTAATTATTATAACAATTTTTATTTTTGCTTATTCTGTGGTTAAGAATGAATCATTTTTCAAAATTCGTTGCAATTGATGTTATTCCTTTTGTTACTGTTTTGTACACTTCTGCTTCATGGAGCACTTGATATGTTTTGTGAATCACAGGGGAGCAGAAGTGCCTGAATTCGGAGCTGTGGCATGCATGTGCTGGACCACTTGTCTGTTTACCCGCTATTGGAAGCCGTGTGGTGTATTTTCCTCAGGGACATAGTGAGCAGGTTAGTTTGTTCAGCTATTTAATTTTATCCTGTTTTATCTTCTCGAGATCACAGTATGTCCCATGCTAGCCATGGTTGGCATGCCACTTGCTGTTGGTGTGGCATGGAATGGTACGCTGCTGTGCATGAAAACGATCTCTAAGTAGGAAATTAAAAAGAGGATCAGTTAATGATTGCAGTAGCTCTGATATGTATTGGAACAATATGTACCACCTAGCATAGTCTGCTACATCATTATACACAATCATTTGATCTTTAATAGCGTAATTTTGTTTTGTTGATTCTTGGTGGCATCTGCTGAGCTTGTTTTCTTACTATATAAAGTTTCATATAAACAAATAGATTTTTGAACTGTATAGTCAATGTTGCATTATCTTATTTGTACCATCAGCTTTCATGCTTCATGATGATGTTTGTACTATTGTCAAGCAATTTAGTATGGTTTTCTTCCTAGTTCTTGGCCTTTGCGATTTGACAGCACCTGGGCTTTGCAGGTAGCTGCTTCTACTAATAAAGAAGTAGATGGCCATATCCCCAATTACCCCAACTTACCTCCTCAGTTGATCTGTCAGCTTCATAATGTAACAATGCATGTAAGTTCACCATGAACAATATATGTTTTTGAGGATAGGTATCTTATAGGTTTGACTTCTAGGTCTGAGTACCACCTCAAATAACATTTCAGGCAGATGCTGAGACGGATGAAGTATATGCCCAGATGACACTGCAACCATTAAGCCTGGTAACCGGAATCTTCTATACTGTTCTTGGTGCAAGGGTAATTTGCATTATGCTTCTTTTTCTTTTTCTATATAAAATTTCATATTCACATCTATAGGAAGAACAAAAGGAACCCTATCTTCCTGCTGAATTGGGTACTCCAAGCAAACAGCCGACCAACTACTTCTGTAAGACCTTGACTGCAAGTGACACCAGCACCCATGGTGGTTTCTCTGTTCCTAGGCGGGCAGCTGAAAAAGTCTTTCCACCACTGGTGGGATTATTTTGTTTAATACTGCTTGAATCTTTACTAATCTGATAGTTCCTATCCAAATTTGGTAGTCAACTAGTTTATTCTTTATGTTGTTTCCACAGGATTATTCTCAGCAGCCTCCTGCGCAAGAGCTAATTGCAAGAGACCTTCATGATAATGAATGGAAGTTCCGTCACATTTTCCGAGGTGAGTTTGAACAAAAGTGAGTGGCGACTGGGCCCATTCTGTTTGTTGATTTATTTTGGTGAAATCCCTTACTTTATCATTTGTGTCACTTTGATCGTTAACAATTTCCTAACTTGTAGATTCAAGTTGACGCATTGCAATATAGACTGTTAGTTAAGCAGTTATTCATAAGAAAGATATTGCAATGATCATGATCAAATTAGAACTCATCCTGAGTTTGTAACATATATAGTGTGGAGAAAAGGATGGTGATGTTTTAGTAGTAGGAAAAACACCTGCTGGCAAGATGTTATTTTGGAACTAGCTGCTTGATTGTGGACTAATTCTTTATTTGATACAATATTGATTAATTTCCCTTACAATAATTCCTCTCTTTGTAATGAATGTTTCATCAACTTTGTTTTTGGAGCTGTTGGTTCTTTTGATGGATATGAACTAATAAACAATCATATTGTTTGTTCATAAAAGAAAAAGAAGTACATATTTCAACTCAAAATTGTCTTGTCTCATTTGTAAATCCCTGTCACCCACAACCTTTGTTCTCCGATCCTGACTTTATTATACATTTTTGCTTGTTTTGCATTGGGTGTATCACCTAGATGGTTCATCATTCGGTATGCTCTTCAATATGCTCAATGAATAGTATGTTGTCAAAACATAATTAATGATGGTCATCCCACCTGTACAAAAAGTCAAGACATCATCCATACTCCGTAGACAAAATATATCTGTACTTTCTGGTCCCAATTTCAACCACTTGTTTTCTGCCTTTGTATAAAATGCTTGTTAATGTAAGAAAGCCTTTCAACATAAAATAAGCTTTGTGCGTATGGAATAATCTGCTTCAATTTTGTGATTTCTAACCCATTATTGGCCCCTCATACCCCTGTTTCACGGTTTTATTTCTGAATTTCTTTATCTACAGGACATATTTAATTAACAATGCTCCCTTTGTCATTACAATTTGGTGTTTCCAGTTCTTTAGCATTTTGCTATGGAGCACAATTCAAATTGAGAAGGCACCATAGAAGTTTTGTGAATGTTTACACTCCACTCTCCCCACTTCCTTATCATGACAACCTTGGGAAAGAGAAACTTGCCCAAGAAATCTTTATGGCAGCTGGTTTTTTCATTTTAAATATTTTGTGGGTTTCAATTTATGCTCACGTAACCATAAAGCAGACTAGAATTGCCTTGAAGAAAGGGGAAGGACAAGTTTTGCCATATGTTTATTTTTTAAATTTCAGAGTTGAACATAAGCCAACAAAGAATGGAAAAATCCTAATATAAAGGGATACTTGATATGGATCAGGTTGGCAGCAAAGTCGGATACTTGTACATCTCTTGTTGAACAGGGGAAAATATCTTGGTATATATGCAGTTTATGAAGGTCACATATGTCATGCAATTATTTTCTTTTATAATTTCATTTTCAAGAAACCTGTCCAACAGCCAAAATGTACTTTCTGGGCCTCTTTTCCTGTCCAACATTGTTTTTGTCAAATAGGACACTTGCCAGAGATAAATAAATAGTATGTTGTTACCCTTAGAAAAAGGTTGTAATTTTTAAAAATATTTTCTAAGAGCACTGGTGATGCAGGTCAACCAAAGAGGCATCTTCTGACAACTGGATGGAGTGTGTTTGTAAGTGCAAAAAGGCTAGTCGCCGGGGATTCAGTACTCTTTATCTGGTGCGATGATGCCATGCCATTTTTCTGTTGCAAATTTCTGCAAGTTATTATGCAAATTAATGGAAACTGTTTTGACTTATTTGTAACACTTGGATATTCTGCATCTTTTAGGAATGAGAGCAATCAGCTGCTTATAGGTATTCGGCGTGCTAATCGACCACAAACTGTTATGCCTTCGTCTGTATTATCAAGCGATAGCATGCATATAGGCCTCCTCGCTGCAGCAGCTCATGCTGCTGCAACAAACAGCCGTTTTACCATATTTTACAACCCAAGGTAAAACTCAAATTTGGTTGCATCACATCGCTTCATTTTTATCTAAATCATATTTGTTGGTGACTATTTCTGAACTATATCGACTTGTTGCTGTCAGGGCGAGCCCTTCAGAATTTGTTATTCCACTAGCTAAGTATGTTAAAGCAGTCTATCACACACGTGTTTCCGTGGGGATGCGTTTTAGAATGCTTTTCGAGACAGAGGAGTCAAGTGTTCGCAGGTTGATGCATAGTCTTTGACATTCCTATTCATTATTGGACTTTAAGCACTGTCATTAACCATGTTTGTTTTTTGTTCTGGATTGTTTTTTAATTTCATGTTGCTAATAACATCTATATTAGCTTTTGCCATATGCCCCCTTTTATTTCATTGTATCATCTTTTAATTTTCTTGTCTTTTCATTATCAGATACATGGGCACCATCACAGGGATAAGTGATCTAGACCCTGTCCGTTGGCCAAACTCACATTGGCGTTCTGTGAAGGTGCTTATCTTGTGAAACTTCTCAGCTTTTCAGATAAATTCTGTGGAAACCATTAAGGCTTAATCTTGCGATATTATTCCTTTACTTAAAAGGTAGCTGGGAATCTCTTAAGCTGTAACTCCTGCAGTTGTTACACATGATTTTGGTTTGCTGTTGTAGGTTGGCTGGGATGAGTCAACTGCTGGGGAGAGGCAGCCAAGAGTATCCCTTTGGGAGATTGAGCCTCTGACAACATTTCCGATGTATCCATCTGCCTTTCCCCTTAGACTCAAGCGGCCTTGGCCTTCTGGATTGCCCTCTCTGCATGGTACACATTGTATTTGCTTCCTGAAAAATGCAACCTGAAGATGTATGAACTCATCTTGCTATTCCTTCCAATATATTCAGGTGGGAAAGATGATGATATTGGTTTGAACTCTTCTCTTATGTGGCTTCAAGATGGCGAAAGGGGGATACAGTCCTTGAATTTTCAGGGATTTGGGATGACACCTTGGATGCATCAGAGATGCAATTCATCCATTCTTGGTCTACAGCCTGATATGTATCAAGCAATGGCTTCAGCAGCACTACAGGAGATGAGGGCTGTGGATTTTTCCAAACAGGCAACTTCTACTGTGATGCAATTTCAACAACATCAGAACATAACAAACGCATCAGCTCCACTATTAGCTAGTCAGGTCTTACAACAAATGCAACCCCAATCTCAACAAACCCTCCTTCAGAACTTGCAAGAAACCCAGAATCAAAATCAGACTCTGTATCCATTTGTCCAGCATCAGATGCAGCATTGCAACTCATTTCATGATCAGGAGCAGCTGCAACCGCGACTGCTTCAGCAGCAGGAGCAGGAGCAACTGCAGTCACGACCTCTGCAGCAACAGGAACAGGAGCAACTGCATCCGCGATCTCTCCAGCAGCAGGAGCAGAAACCTCAGAAACAGCAAATACAACAGCAGCAGTTATCTAATCAACAAATTCCTAATGCAATGTCAACCTTGTCTCAGTTTGCATCTACTTCTCAGGCCCAGACTTTGTCCTTGCAGAAAATGGCATCGTTATGCCAGCAGCAGAATTTGCCCGAGACAATCATCAACCGCATGTCCACATCTGGTGTCTCCCCTCTGCATGGGATTTTGCACCCATTTTCAGCTGAAGAAACATCAGGCCTTGTTAGTATGCCAAAGACAACTCCACTAATTGCTACAAGCCCATGGTCATCTAAGCGACTAGCTGTTGAATCCATTCCTGTACTTCAATCCATGCAGCCAGAGGTCAAACAATTGGGTTCTCAGATCAACTTCTCTCAGAATGCTGTTACTGTACCACCATCTTCAGGAAGAGATTGCTCTCTCAACCAGGAATGTGGAATGGATCGTCAAAGCAATCTGCTTTCCAGTGTGAATATAGACTCTTCATCACTGTTGGTGCAGAATGGCATGTCAAATCTTAGGAACTTTGACAATGATACTGTTTCAACATTGATGCCATTTGTGAGTACCACTGGAACAGATTATGCATTGCATCAAGCACTGACAAGTTCTAACTGTATAGAGGATTCGGAGTTCTTGCAGTCTCCGAATAGTGTGGGTGTTATGAACCCACAAAATGGAACCTTTGTCAAGGTGAATTGTTTTCTTTGTGTTGATATATTGTCCATTAAGACAGGTCGATTAGTAGCTTCATCTAATAATAGGAAAATTTCAATATCACCTGCCAATATATGAAGTTACATCTTGATATGATTTGTCGAAGGAACAGATAAAACCAGCCTTGCTAAGTTTGCCTTCCTACACCTTGAGCACTTTGTTATCATGGTGCATGCTTGAAGTGTTCTTTTTCTCTTCTACTAGTAGCTGGGTTGGTCTTGAGCCAGCTAAGTTCATTGAGTGACATGGCTGTGTCTCTGTAGGCTACTTGAATGTTGTGCGATCCATTTTCTGATACATTATTTCTTGACTAACAAGAATTTGATGATGTCAGGTTTACAAATCGGGGTCCTTTGGAAGGTCATTGGATATTACAAAATTTAACAGTTATCCCGAGCTCCGCAGTGAGCTTGGGCGTCTGTTTGGCCTAGAAGGCCTGTTGGAGGACCCTCTAAGATCAGGCTGGCAGCTTGTATTCGTCGACCGGGAAAATGATGTTCTTCTCGTAGGCGATGACCCATGGCAGTGAGTCCTCACACTCTTTATCTTTATTTGTGTGGTAGTTAGCAAACTCATGGAACTCTTTCTTGTGCTTCATGTAATTTTAGGGAGACAGGCTATCATTGAACTTGTTTTGAGTTACCAATGGCTTTTTTTCACAAAGTTCATGTTTCTTGCACCCAAGTACTTAGGAATAATGACTCTAGTAAACAAGGGAACCAACTACAAGTCACATGCATTTTAAGTTCATATGCTAGGGATGCCATTTCCTTTTAAAAAATATCCATTTTCAAAAGCTTGTACTGCTATAGTTACTGATTGTGTTCGATTGTACAAGTTGGTCGACACTGTTGCATTACTTAAGACACAAGTCAAAACCCTGCCAATGAACTGGATTATTTGCTATGGTATGATACTGTTTTTATTTTTTTTATAATGTATCGAGTTGTTTATTTGAACTTTGCTATATTTACAACGCTAACATATCCATATATTTGAATGATAGACGTCTGATTTGGTAGCTTTATTTTAGCCATTAGCTTGTGCATTGTCCAGAAATGCATATAATTGGCATTTGTCATCGAACTAATGACCATCATTATTGTCAGCCACCAAATCTTTTTTTTTTCCATTGAGCATTCAACTCCAAGTGTGGACAAAAAAATTACCATTAAAACATAACGTTGAATTAAAAAGAAGATACTCCTTGGCAATCTTAAAGACCACTATGAAATGGTATCTTATCAAACTTACGATACAGGATACCCATGGCAGACAAAAAAACAAAAAGATCCATTAGAGGAGAAGCCCACCTCTTCCATCTCAAAAGACAAAATGTACCATGGTTCTTCCAAGAATTAGTCAAACTCAGAAATGAGATCTCTGAGTAACAAACGAATAAAAAAATCCTCATTTTTTGCATTGAAAATATAGAAATCAAGAAGCAATAGAACTTCAGTGGAGGTGAATGGGTTTCTGTGTAAAAGAAACCTATTTTTGTTATAATAACAGCGGTTAAGAGTGATAATATTGTTTTTCCCAAAAGAATCTCAATGTTAAGGAACAAAGATCTATCAAGGGGAAAAGATAAGATACATCCTGCACTTATTAACAATTTGTGTTTATCCTTTTTTAAAAGAAATCGAGTTGGTCCTGTGTTGACTAATATGCAACATTAAACTACTAACTTTTGTAATTTATCTATACTTCTCAGTGAGTTTGTTAATAATGTATCGAGCATAAAGATCTTGTCACCCCAAGAAGTTCAGCAGATGGGCAAGGAAGGGGTTGATCTTCTTAATGCAGCTACAAACAGGAGAATCCCAAGCCACACTTCTGATGAATATATCAGCAGGCAGGAGTCCAGAAATTTGAGCAATGGAATGGCATCTGTGGGGTCCCTGGATTACTGAGAAGAATTAGACAGTTGAGTTGGAAACCTGGAATATCTTTAATTTCCACTTTTGTAGTAATTAACATTATGTATTTTCTATCAGGTATGCACTACTTGTCTGAGTTTAGCATGTCTGTGTATATTATCGTATTGTTTATGATACCAAGTCATGTTATGTCTTATCAAGCCAAAGATGTGGAGACAATGTATTCCACGGACATTAGCAGAATTTTGTGCCACTGCTGTTATCAGCTTGAATTAAGATCTTGTGTTGTTTCGATTGTTATGTTTGGCATGGCATGTCTTGACCATCTGGGAGTGATGATCTTAGCAAAGTTGAAGTGTCACAAAGCAGATATTAGAGAGTTGTCAAAAAAAGAAGAAGCAATGATTGGCTAAAAGAGAGCTTCTTTTTGCCAATCTATGTCCATTTCCAGTCTTGGTGAATCATCAACTTTTTCTGCATTAATTATACTGACCTTTGATCATGAAATCGGGTGAATGCAAGGTATTAGGAGGATCAATATACATAGTCATGGTTCTACAAACATGGAGGTTACTTCTGTGACTCAAACCCTAGTTTATCTGGGTTGTAAAGGAACAACCTTAATATAACACCAAGACTACTCCTTTGTGGTTCAACACAGTCTGATGGAGTGTAGAAGGAAGATCGACACATTAGGGGGGAAAAAAAGAAGAGGATAGTATTGAGAAAGATAGGAAGAGGGAATATAGAATAAATCAAAGGGTCAAGGATACTGAAATATTCCAGGTAGTTTCTTTATAGTTTATAGCAGCTTGGTTTTATGGTTAGATCATGTTGTTACCATGGCATATATTTCTGGAGAATGGAACCTTTCCCTCCATATTGAAATGTAGTAAAAAATACTTTCTGACTGCTTATGTCAGTAAACATTATACTCTATGCTTTCTGCTGTGGTGATACAACTTCATTAAGCAGCCATTTAATTCATAGTATTTCTTTAGCCGATGTGCAGATGGTTCTTTTCTGGCTTTTCTCTGCATCCAACTTTGCACTTCACAGTGTTCAGGTTTTGTTCAGCTAATATGGTGCAGAATGCAGATCTTCTTTGATGTTCACGACCTTGGAGAACTTTGCTGCCTTTTAGTCAACCTTGGAAGTTACTTTAATTGCACTCACTATGCAATTTTTGACTCATGAAACAATTTCTAGGTGTCATGCCAATGAAAGCAGCAACTGTGCCTGTTTGGGCAGCTGGAGCTCGAAGCCATCGTCAACCTTCACATCATGTTTTAGACCAGAAGAAGGTGAACATCTACAGTGTCTTCTTCCACACCTGCCAGGTTTCTTCCAGCAGTCAGTATTCTTCTCTACTTGATGTTCCAATCTGGTGACATTTAGGTCAGGACAAAAGCACATGATTCATGATGTTCACCAGTTGGAATTTTGTATGTATCCCAGGGAACATCAATGATGCTCTCTGTTGTCGGATTTTGGCTCCTCAGATCTGAGTTTTAAAGGAGCAGTGATAACTCTCATTGAAGTTTGCAGGTCTCCATATTCTTTACTGGTCCTGTGAACACAAATGAGCAGTACTGGAAATGAGTGACCAGCAGAAAACAACTTCTGTACTGAGTGCAGGTAAAAAAACAGGCATGTCTTAATTGAGTTTGGATGCTGGCTTGTTCCATGATTGCACTTTTATGGTGATGCTGTGAGAGTGATCAGAGTTCATGATGCCATATGAGTCTCAAATTTGTTTTGTTTTGACTGATTGCTATCATGTGATTTTTTGACCATCTTGCTGGGTTGAGTCTGTTTCTCCAGCATATTCTATAGCTGTTCTTTCTACTCCTTATATTTGTTGATCTGCATTTGGTGTGAGAATTCAACCAATATTTGGCACAGATGAGGTCTTCATGAGCTGCCATTTGCTTCATTTAAGTTACATTTATTTCAGATGCTCAGATGCTTCATCCTTCTTTTAAAGTGTACAAGAACCAAAAAAAAAGGAAAAATTGCATATATATATATATATATATATATATATATATATATATATAGAGAGAGAGAGAGAGAGAGAGAGAGAGAGAGAGAGAGAGAGAGAGAGAGTTTTAAGATTGCTATGCAATCAATCAAAGGCAAATTGCAGATAGCAAGTTGACCTCGACGACCCAGCGGGCTTTGACTTCCGCCCCAACCTCAACCTCAACCTCGCTGCCTCGTCGTCGGCGGTGACCGGCCAATAAAAAGGCGGTGTTTGCAGAGCGTTGACAAACCCGTCAACAACAACAAATCATCGATCGAGTGCTATTTGAAATCTCATTCGTTAGATGGTCACATCGTTACCTAGTTGACCGTCTATTTGATTTGACATTGATGAACTCGACCGATGATTTGGCCTTTCTTTTGGCTGTCATGGTGATTTGGACTCCTAAATCGTAGTAGAAAACACAGCTTCATTGCCCACATGCGTGGCTGCCTCCCTTAATTGGGTGAAGTACAGCTATATTATCCAGGGAATCTGTCTGCAGTCTGCACTGATCCACCAGTGGTCGTAGATCTCTCAGATCTGTGAGAGCAAACAGAGCCTGGTCTTTTTCATCAGGAGCGTTCTTGCCATCACCTTGTCACAGATGAATTGTTGGTTCCATCCGATCCAGCATTAGCCTTGATTTGGAAGGCCAAGAAAATGTTGTAGGTGTCAAGGGAAGGACAGAACAGTAGCTGCCCATTTTGGGGTGCCTTCGCGCTCTGTTGGGTTGGGAAAAAGGATTTGCTTGGGCTTGGAATTAGTGATTGAAGATATTCTTTGTTCTTCTACCTTCTGTTGCAGATCTTGGGGTTGTTCAACTACTAGCTTTTGTGGTTCAGATCTCTGGTCCTTGGGAGGAGAGGAAGGCCCCAGGAGTTGGTGCAGGTGAGATTGCTACGGCTCTGTTTCCTTTGCGATTCAACTAAAGTTTGGATCTTGTTCTTTCTTTAAGGATTTTTGGAGTGGTTTGGCAGAGTATGTGGGATTTTGTGGGTGGTGAACTCGTTGGATGATCAATAAATGCACAACATTGCATGCCTGATGCATCGGCTTGCTTTATAGATTATTTAGGACATTCGTTTGAGGAATTACTCTGGGTTCTTCCTGGATTAGGGTTTAGGGAAATGCTGATAGGGTAAATAGAGGACCTTTCTGAAAGCTATCATTCCTACTTTGGGCCTTTTGTTGGTGGCAGTGTAGAGACTTGGTGATGTTCATATGGCAGTGGAAGGAGTGCATTTGGCTACGGGAGCACATAGGTTGATCATCAAGGACTATGCAAGGTGGTCGGTTGTGTGACTTGGTTTTGTAATCTTCTCTCTGATTTTTCTCGTTTCTCGGGTTCATCTTCAAGATGGCATGTATGAAGCTGGGATCAAAACCTGATGCCTTCCAGCAACAAGGGCAAGCCTGGTATGGTGCATTCTGTTCTTGTGGTTTTGGCAATCTCATTGTTTTGTTCTTGTGAATTCCAACCCAAACATAACCATAACTACACCTGCTTCTGGTCTGTCTTCTCCAAAACTTCAGACATTGAAAACTAATAGTTTTGTCACTGTTGAGGTGCTTTGTCATTAAATATACATAATCTAGCATCTGACTTTCTTCTTGAAAAGTTACATTATTCCTGTTATTGATATTTGAGATCTTAGAAGTGTAAATTTAAAATTTAGGTTTTCAAAGACATTGTTGCTGGAGAATACTTCATTGTGAGTTGTTCCATATAAAGTTATAGTATAGAATTATGTTTTGCTCCTTGATGAAGCTCTATCTCTCTGGTGAATCTAATACCTGAGTGATTTCTTCAAATTTGTTTGACTTGATGCCTTCATCCATGGGTTCATACCTTGCCTGGTGAAGTTTGCTCCTCGAATTTTACCATAAGTTCTATATCCTTTTTTGTTCTCATAGGATGTGCCTAGATGCATTACTGCTCTTTGATTTTGACATGATTTTGAAACAATTGAATTAGGATAACTGAGAGTTATTGCTACTTTTGCTTGTAAACTTCCTTTCGCAAAGCCTAAGTTCAATTTTCTAGTTCCAAATTTCTTGTTTCTACTTTCTTTATGGGTTAGTTGTTGAACCAAACACTAAAGTTTACATTTATGGATTTGCCACCTGGAATGCTATACGTTTATGGATTTGTCACCTTAAGTGCTATACATTATGTTCGTCTCAAGGTATCTGATTCCTTGAAATGCTGAAAAGCAAAATAATATCATGTATAAAATAGCTATTCTTCTTTTTAGTTGCTCATTTTGTGAATACATGCTTATTGTCTTAAGATCATCTCATTTGAACTCTATGTTGAAGATCTGATGGATCTCACTTGAATTCTATGCTGAAGGTCAGATGGAAAGGTATATTTGGCGGCCCTTTAGCACTTTTAACAAACTGTGGTTTTAAAATTGGTTTGAATTGGATTATCCAGACTGATGACCTTGTCATGTTGTTATGGATTTTATGCAATCCTTGATCTGTATATACATATCGTTTAGATTCAACTCAGTGATTCCCAAAATGTTGGTTTGAATGAAGATCACTTATTCTGAAATTTCCAGGTTCTGCACAACTGGGCTTCCAAGTGATGTTACTGTTGAAGTTGGAGAAATATCATTCCACCTCCACAAGGTAAGGACAATAACCAAGTAAATTAAGCTGAATCCAGCTTGTACAGTGTATTCATGTCCTTGTACATTGATATACATGGTCCTATTTGATCATACTATAAGGTTAAGCTGTTATGCTATCACAGAAAATCTTTTAAAGTTGGAATTTTTTGTTTTTGCATTGATAACAAAGAATTATGAATAGCATTGCTTGATAAGAAATCTGTAAGTTATGTATCTCCAACGACATTTTGCATAATAGGCTTTGCGGTTTGGCTTTTTTCTAGAGAAAATCTAGTTCTGTTTATCAAGAATTATATTAAATTTTTTCTTTCAGTTTCCTCTATTGTCAAAAAGTGGTCTTTTGGAAAAACTAATGAAGGAGAAATCTGATGAAGAAGAGGATACTCTAATAAAGCTGCATGATGTTACCGGTGGTGCTCGAACATTCGAACTTGTGGCTAAATTCTGCTATGGCATAAAGTTAGAACTCACTTCCTCAAACGTCGTCTACCTGCGCTGTGCTTCTGAGCACCTTCAAATGACAGAAGAGATAGCAGAAGGTAACTTGATTGCTCAGACAGAAATCTTCTTCAATCAAGTTGTCCTTCATAGCTGGAAAGATTCAATTAAGGCACTCCAAACATGCGATGATCTTCTCCCTCATGCCGAAAACCTTCAGATTATCAAGAGATGCGTTGATTCTCTGGCTGTTAAGGCTTGTACAGATCCGAATCTATTTGGCTGGCCAATGATGGAGCATGGTGCCATGCAAAGCCCTGGTGGCAGTGTATTATGGAATGGAATAAGCACCGGAGCCAGGCCTAGAAATTGTAGTTCGGATTGGTGGTATGAAGACGTTTCTTCTTTAAGTTTTCCCTTGTATAAGAGGTTGATCTCTGTGATGAAATCTCGAGGTATCAGACAAGAGATCATTGCAGGTTCTCTGATCTTATATGCTAAACAGTATCTGCCCGGACTGAATAGGCGTCCGAGTCTGGCACAAGGAAATTTGACAGCTGCACCTTCGGAACAAGAACAGAGGCATCTTCTTGAAGAGATCGATAGCCTGTTGCCTCTTCAAAAGGGTGCAGCATCAACTAAGATTTTGATTGGTCTTCTGCGGACGGCCATTATTCTGCAAGCTAGTCCATCATGCATTTCAAATTTGGAGAGAAGGGTAGGGATGCAGCTAGACCAGGCAGACTTGGAAGATCTACTTTTCCCAACTTTTGAGTTCTCCATGGAGGCTCTCTACAATGTTGATCGTGTCCAACGGATGCTTGATCATTTCATAGCCACTGATCAAGCTACCAGCACGGCTGGGACTTCCTCTCCTGGTTCTGTCAATGATGAGCAGCTGATTGGTTCCCCATCTTTGGTGCCATTAACTGCTGTTGCCAAGCTAATTGATGGTTATCTAGCAGAGGTTGCACCAGATATCAATTTAAAAATGCCGAAGTTCCAAAAGTTGGCTGCTGCTGTACCTGATTATGCCCGACCACTGGATGATGGTCTATACCGTGCTCTTGACATATACCTGAAGGTACTTGTTGCAATCTTGTGGCTCTTCAGAAGTTGTATCTGGCTTAATTTGTGTTTTTGGAATCTTTTAAAACTAGCTAAGTAATGAATGATACATAGATTTCTATAATGCAATCTATCATCTTTTATCAAGCACAGATATTTGCTAATGTCCAAAACACAATCCATGTGCAGGCACACCCTTGGCTCTCAGAATCTGAGAGGGAGCAGCTCTGCCGGCTGATGGATTGCCAAAAGCTCTCACTAGAAGCTTGCACTCATGCTGCACAGAATGAGAGGCTCCCTCTAAGAGTAGTGGTTCAAGTCCTCTTCTTCGAGCAGCTTCAACTTAGGACATCCGTTGCTGGATGTTTGCTTGTCTCTGACAACCTTGATGGCTCGCAACCACTTAGGAGTGGAATTGCTTGTTCAGGTGAAGCTGGAGGGTGGATGACTGCTGTTAGGGAGAACAAGGATCTGAAGGTGGGCATGGATAATATGAGGCTGAGAGTGTCTGAGCTTGAAAAGGAGTGCACAAGTATGAAGCAAGAAATCAAGAAGCTAGGGCAGGGAAGGAGTGGTTGGAGCAGTGTTCCCAAGAAGTTTGGATCTAAGATCAAGTTGCAATTATGCAGTGCCCAGGAGGATTCTGTAAGTGCTCAGCAGAAGACTAAAAGTGGGAAGATTGACAAGTTGCAAGCCATAATCACGAAGCAGAAGCATCAGTTATCTGCAGATGATTGAGTTCTCTTTTTCGATTGTGCCACATTGTCGTAATTCTAGTCTGTTTTCTGTTTCAGTAGGAACTGTTAATTCATGTACTTTCTTCTTGGACAGAATCTGTATCAAGCTTGACCTTTGTCACTTGTTAAATGTGAAAAATGGGATTGTGGTGTTTGATATTTAGCACAATTGTTGCCTTGAATCTTTCCGAGCTATATGATCTTTGTTTTGCGTTCTTGTCATATGATCCACTCAGGCTTTTATGTTGAAGATTAAATTCATGTACTTTGTGTTGTCCATTCTACTTGATATACTTTTCAGCTGCTGCTATGTGAAAACAAGTTCAGTTCCAACTGACAGGAAGCTGCTAATGAGGATCAGCACTGCTTTTGAATTACTCTCTTATTCTGCTTATGTAATATGATACAGCAAGCATGTATCGATACAAGCGTTTCAGATTTATTTATCATTTTTCAGACAGAAAATATAGTTTACAAGAATCAAATTTGGGTGACGGAGAGTAAATACTACACAAATGTTAGAACTCTCCGGCACAGGCAGTAGCGGTGCTTGAGTCCTGGGTGGTGCATTTGCGGATACGTGCCACATCCACGACTCGTGCCTCAAGCCACGACTTAAGTGGTAACATGGAATGTTTCTTATTGTTTTCTTAAGAGATGCCTCTTGTACAACATTTCCCATTTCTAATTGGAGTTTTCTGAATACCTGTGGTCATACATAGACCTCACATTTAAGTTTTTTTTTCTCTTTTTTTTTTCTTTTTTTGGATTAAAAATCTCACATGTAAGTGTTGAAAACACCAAATTGTTTATTGCTACTAGAAAATTTAAAGAAAAAAAATAAAATTTTTAGAAACTATGTTTGACTACCCTGACCTTCTTTCTAGATTCCTTGGAATTTTTCTTTGGAGACAACTCCTGGAGCTTGGAAAAGAATTTCTTCGTGTATTTAATACAACATCCGTTTGCTGTTAAATGATTTTAATCTGTCAATTGTTGTCTTAAAATTTTCTAGCAAATACTTTAGTTTCTTGAATTCACAGGTGATATGGTTTAGCAGTAAATCCATCCTCTATAGACATCACTAAGCATTCATGTCTAGTTAAGGAAATAAAGCTAAATTTTTATTTTTGGGATATAAAATCACAATAAAAAAGATTTCAAGGCGGAAAAAAGTATCAAATGCTTTGGTCATGTTGATTTAATCTCCTCTTATACCGGTGCCGATTTGAGGGTTAAGAAACTTTCAGTTTATCGGATCATATTTCTCTCTTCTCAAATTACTGAAATTGATGAACTAATCTTATTTCCTCATTATAAGGGTAGACTTCATCACCGATGGAGACATCAAATAAAAATTATTGTTGAAGGTTGTTCAGACAAGAAGATCAAGCATGATGTTCAAGAAGAAAGAAGAAGGAGAAGAGAGAGAGAGAGAGAACAGAACAACTTGAATGGCTTTGCAAAGGACTATTCAAGCAATGTCAACATTAGTTTTTTTGTTGGTTTTGACATTAGTTAGAACTCTATATCTTTATAGATACTTACAGTCATAGACCAATGGAGTTCATGTCATATCTCTCTAGAACTCAAACCTACATGCCCTTCTCAGGATCACATATAAACCAATCTAGAACAAGCTACTTTCCACAATATCTTTGAATTCCATCAGATCATTTTACTCATTTTCACTTATAATATAAATAAATAGATCAACACAATTCTACATAAGTTTGAAGGATTTGCATGCATTTGTGATTTGGAATAATGGGCATTAAGATGTTTACATCCAAATAAACAAACTTTAAATTGACTAGTAAACAAATACTCTGTAAATACAGTACAGGAAAATATATGTATTCTTATGTGATATCTTATTAAAAAAAGGGGATAAAATTACAAATATATATATATATATATATATATTTGCATATATTCCTCTCTAAATTTAAGTTTATTATTATTATATATATATATATTTCCACTTTTTATTTTTTAAAAAATAATTTGATACTTATAATTATGATTAGTAATTTAAAAAAATTGATAAATATTAAAATATTATTGATAAGTTGGTCTGATACAGTAATCCGTATTTAAGGTATAAAAAATAAATATTTTAATATTTCTTAGAATATTTTTTTTGTTTTCTTTTCGCTCTTCATATAAGGCATATATTCCTTCGCTTTTTCGTTGTTGGCTGCGTCTTCTTTTCACTAATTGTGAGAAGAGAAAGAGAAGAGAAGAGAGATCGGAAGAAGACGGAGGTATGGAGGGAGGAGGAGTAGGGGAGAAGCCATTGAGGCGAATCGCGGAGGCATTCGAGGGCCTGGCGGAAGCCGCCAACTGCAAGACGGCGTCCATGGAGGTCGCCCCCTTCTCCCGCGCCTGCTCCCACGTGTCCGTCCTCTTCGGCTGCTTGGGCATCGCCTTCAAGTTCGCCGAGATGGATTACGTCGCCAAGGTCCCATTTCTTTTCTTGGTGATCTAGGGGTTCTCGCGTTCGGATGATTTCTTGTTGATGAGCCGGAATTCACTTTCTTGCTGATCTAGGAATTCTCGAAATAGGCTGATTTCTTGTTGGAGAACTTAAAGTTCACCTTCTCTTCGTAGAAATTCCCACCTTTTCTTCTGCCTCCAGTTCTTTTGCCTAAAAGGAGCTTTTTTATTTAAAGAAACATGAAGAATTGTTTGATGTGAGTCTTTATCTAATTCTGAGGACATGATCTTTGTGATGTGGAAAGCAACGGCTCTAAGAGTGATTAGAGGGCAGGGAATCATGCAACCGCAGAAGAATTACCATTATCTGTTGCACTGCTGATTAGGAGTGAATTTGCTAATATTAGCGCAAAATTCTATTAGGGCAGAACCTTGGGTGCTTGCATAGGTTAATCTGGAAAGGCAATGAGAGAAACAAATTATCTCGTAGAACAAGGTGCAGAAGTTAGTTAATGGGTAGTGAAATTCCAAATTGGGAGTTCGAGGATTAATGTTCCTACTGATTGCTTGTATTTCCTAGACAGTGAAGATAGACTAAATGAAATTGTGGATACCTGAATTGTAAACTTTGATATGGAATTGTCATTGTAATTCAAAGGCAATAACCAATCTCTACAATGAGATACTTGAAAGTGCCTAAATAAGAATATGCTGTTGGTTCATTTTACAATCTCAGGTCTTAGGTAATTATTTATCAATATGCTGGCTTGTGACCTATTTTCGAGCTTCAATTCTACTGGAGCTGGTTGTATCTGTATTTAGGTTAATATAGTCGATTTTCCTTGGAAAAGGGCATGTGGCTTATATCCTTCCTCTGTTGTATGGGCTCTGTATCCATCATGCTTGCTCTGTGAGGTTGATGTTCTTTGTTTTTATTTACTCAAGTAAATGAACAAGATAGATTTGAAGCCATTATCAAGTAAAATTACTGCAACTACAGGTAAAAAAGTTACAAAAAAAAAAGAACATGACATAACAAAAGCCACATGGTTGGTGACACCAGCAAGTTAATAAAGAGGTTTCAGCAAATATTCGCTACATGAAGATTAGTATAGACCTTCCGTCATCCCAGGAGTAATTTGCAAGTGTTGTTGTCACTTCTGTTCATGAACTTGAGTCCTTTCATAATTCTTTGATGACGAATGTGGAATTGCTGTTAGAGAGGCACATGGAGGCACTTGCATCATCATTTTCTAAACCTTTTTGTCAGAGTACCCTGAAATATAAACCACAATTTGGCTATTAAAATTGAAACTAAATTTTACCAAATGTTTTATATTAATCTAAATTTACTTAAATTTGCACGGAGGCAAAAGCCACCTAAATATACAGACTTGTGAATGTCAGGCACTTAATGGTTGGTCTGATACGATCAGTAACTTTGATTTTATTTGCACCTATTTCTGTTTCTAATGTTCTAGATAAAAAAGGAGCCTTTTCTGGTTTTAAGAAGCATGCAACCTCACCAGAGTAATCAGTACTTTGAAATTTTGGCTAGCCCTATATAAGATCTAGAGGCTTATTACCATGATATTCATGTCAAAGTCATGCTAGTCTGCATACATGTTTATTTTCTTAAATCTGCTTTATTCTAGCTTGGTCAAGGCCTTAGAAGGAGAACTTATTAGCTCGGCCTCCTTGTTCCAGTGTGGTCATCTACAAACATGGCAAGCCATAAGAATAGAAGTCATGAATAACCGGTCTAATTGGAATCATGGTTCACCTTACCGATCTATATTGGTGTACCGACCAATTGTCGGTACGGGACATACCGAGCTGTACCAAGTCATATCGAGCATATTGATATATGGTATTTGGGGGCGTACTAATGTACCACCCATACCGGTCCCTTATCGGACTAGTACATACCGTCCATACCAAGCGGTATGCTGTAGTACGACGAACCTTGATTGGAATTGCAAACTTTGAGGACATCTTATAAATCGATGGGTTCGTTCCATTTGCTTGTTTGGTCTCTTAGGATAAAGTTGGTTTATCCTGCATAACTTATCATTTCCCCTTGTCTCAAATATATTATCAAATTCTAGGAAATTTGGAGAATTGGAGGTCATATTATGGTTTCATGAGCATAAATTGCAACTTTTATTGGAGGGCTTTTTACCTACCAATTATTTTTTGGTTCTTAGGCAGATTTCTCTCTCGTCTAATTTGGATAGGCCATGATTTCGAGTTCTTGCTAAATGCTAACCTTATACTGAAGGTAATCATCTTCGATGATTGTGGTGATGGGTTTTTGATCTAGGTAATATTGCGTTTCAAATTTAGTCCTAATTATCAGCATAAAGAAACATCATGACCAATTTAATTGCATCATAGCTTGCTCGTTAATAGATGCATCTTGGGGAACTCCACCTCTACAAGGAATCATGTGTTCACTTTAAGTTTAAGCTTTTTCAGTATGAATGGATCATTCGTATTATGAGTTGTACGCCGATAAGTCATCCCAAATTGTCAATTCAAATTCATTGCTATTTTTCTTTTCATCTGAAGTAACATCATCTTTTGTTTTATCCTTCTTTTGGGAATGTGCAATCAGGTCGAAGATCTATCTAAGGCATCGAATTCTATCTCAACATTGCACTCTTTGCTTGAGTTAGACATTCAACAGGACTCTGTGAGACAAGCTGGTAGCCATTCACGTAATTTGCTCAGAGTCAAGCGTGGACTTGATATGGTCAAAATTCTGTTTGAGCAAATTCTAGTAACAGAGTATGGCAATTTTTCCTTTTTTTATTACCATAATGTGTGTGCTAAATATTTTGTGATGTGATGCAAAATAAATGCATAGAATAAGCTTCAGTAAGCAACAAGCACACGGGCAGTTTGACTTTGTTCTTATTCTTGAATAAGAAGAACAATAAAAATATGATGGTGAGTGGTACTTTGCTAACGTCAAAGCAATGTTCTAATTCCTTAACAATTCTGACTGAAATAACTGGTGTCAAACTAAATAAAATTAGGAAGCAGTTAAGTCTATCCTATGCTTTAACCCAATCAACCAGGTTCTGACCAATATATTAAAACTTAAAGAATTTGGAGCCTAAAGTTCTTTGGAATTCAACATGTGTCACTAGATCTTGATTAACTTTACCAACTTACAATTCAGAACTACTGATTTGAATTTCACGCATTATGAGAAATATGAAATAACTCAAATTTCTCTACTTATCTTGTGTACTGGCAGGTGTTGATTCTTCATTTTTTAAATACTAACTTTTTATGGACTGATGATTCAGTCCAATATGCAATGTTCCACAACTTGCCTTTTCCGTTCTGTGCATGGGAAGTCGTAGCTTTACGCACAATAATGGCAGCTAAGTAGATAAGGCTTTCACCATTGCAAATTCTGGGGGGTTCAGATGAACAAAGTCTTACCTCTGCCTGCCTAGTAGCCGAGTAAATTCCTGGAAATAACCCCTGTTAGTCATTAATATAGGAGTTGCAGAGTGAAATAATTCAGTAGAAAATGAATATTGCTGCACCAAATATATGACATCATTCATTTAGTTTCTGCTCATATGTATGCTGGATTTAGTATGCTATGCAAATAACACTTGATCATCAAATTAGGAGATGCATAGTGCAATAATTTAGTATAAAATGGATACCACTGATCCAAATATACATCATTTTTCTGCTCATGTGTTTTGCTGGGTTTAGTATGCTATGCTATTCTGAAGGTGTTCAATTGCACATCTTATTTGCTCAGAAAACATAGTTTCTTGCTTCACATGTGACACGTCGACAAACCTGTGTGCTGCTGGTATATAATTCCCAATTGATACCTTAACAGACATTTCTTTGGCATCTTTGTATTATGCTGTATATGAAAATGTTGCTATGCTTTTAATACGAGCCCAAACTGGTCAAATTGCTCAGAAAAATGAGACATTTTAAAATGTGGTGAACTGGTGTATTGACTTTGATTTAGCAAAAACACTGGGAAACAACTGCAGACTTAACAGTGTGCCAATTAAACAGTAGTTGATTTCAGAAATATTCTGGTCTATATGATATTTATTTTAATCACATGCTTGATATGTCATTTATGATTTCAGGGCTTTTATGTTTTTCAGGTCATCTCATAAAAAATTCTCATCTTTTTTTCTCTTTTTTACCATTGCAGTGGAAATTCTCTCAGGGATCCAGCATCAAAAGCTTATGCGAAGGTATTTGCTCCTCACCATGGATGGGCCATAAGGAAAGCAGTTGCTGCAGGAATGTATGCCCTACCTACAAAAGCACAGCTATTGAAGAAACTAAATGAAGATGGTGAATTTTCTAAATTCCAATGTTTGAATAGTTTTACGACTACCTTCCTGCACAATATTTTCTAATTCATCAAATTATATGGTAAAGTAGGCATCAATTTGCATGATGTCCATGCTTCAAATACAAAACAACATACAAGCTTCATGAAGTGCCTGCTAAAAATCATTGTCTTTTTAGTATTCTCATGAGTCTCATCACTATTGTACTTGGATCATTTATACATTTCTTTGTTTTTTTAAACCCTTTTAAGTTTTCATTAAGAGAAAATGACTACTAGCATAATATAGTATAGTGAAGTGACATTAACTTAATGGATTGCAACGAAATGGCACTACTATTGCATGCCATTTATTAAATGTTCTAAAGCTTAATGCATGGTTGAGCTAAAATCTTATTTGAACCTATTACCTCAAAATCAACATGCTCTACAGCATCACCTCAATCAGGTTACTTGGATTCTGTTCAATCATGTGGATCATTGATTACTTATAATTTGTTGAAATCACATGAATTCTAGTTTGTAAATGTTTTGAACATCATAGATAATAGCTTAACAGAATCAATATTTGATTTTGAGGTGATAGGATTAAGGAGTTAATGCCCTAGCTAGGATTCTAGCTCAACTCTGTGTGGGCACAGATATTATCCTACTTAATGCTCAGAATTTGTCTTTATATAAACATGGAATCTCTAAATTGTGTTCCAAAAGCTAATTTTATATGATTACAAGTTTTCTTTTGACTTAGACAACAGCTTAAATTGTTATAAGCCTTCATTATGTACTTGAAAATTAGATGGCACAAACCGATTAAGACTAAAACTTTAATCTTCAGATGGGTTTTTCTTGCTGACAAGTTGTTTTGTGATCACAGAGGCATCAGCGAAGATTCAGATGGAGTGTTACATCAGAACATCCGCTCCTGTCATTGTCTATATCGAAGAACTATTCAACTCAAGGCAACTTGGCATAGATTGGTGACCTGAAACGATATCTTCATGTTCTCCACTCATTCAGCTTCCCACTGCTATTGCATCTCTTGGTTGACAATAAACACTCAAGGCGTCGGCGTGATGTCAACGATGTCTTAGCTATTTTGATTTGGTTGTTTAAGCATGCATGCATTTGGACTGAATGTTTTCAGCTCTGTGATATTGGATATATACTATTTACACTCTGGGAAGCAGTAGGAGATCAAAATGTTGCATATTGTTGAATTGTTGTAAAATTTGTGCATATCTGCCATTTATTATGACTTAGTTTCATTGACTAATTTATTTAATAGAGTTTTGACAATTATAAAGATGGATGATGGATGAAGGAAAAATAAATTACTACCAAATTCATAAGAATAAAAAGAGATATTTTGAAGTATTTAAATTCTGATAAGAATTTAGATAATGAATCATATGATGAAGTTGATGATTGAAAACAAAATAAGTTGCAAAACATTTATTTATTATAAATAGATTATATGCAAGAAATATCTTCATGTGGTAACTATTGACTTTAATATTAAAGTTCCTATAAATTTATTAGGATGGATATAAGAATATTAAGTCGCATAGAGAGAGAGAGAGAGAGAGAGAGAGAGAGAGAATTGGGAGAGTAAATGTTTTTTTTGGTATCATGAAGCATGCATGCAAATGACAAGCCACCAACCAAACCCTAATCATGAATCCCTGCTTGCGGCAATGAACTCCCACCATGGCTCCTTCATAATACGTTCCATGTGCAGGCTCGATCGATTCATGTCAAACTCACAAGATGATCAGATCGAAGAGGTGCCGTTAAATCCTTGGAGAGACTGGGCCCGCGGTGGGGGCCCGCGAATGGGACCTCCACAGTCATGCCTCACAACTGCGGCTGCGGAGGCATGCAGCCACTCTCTCACTCTCCTTTCGTGAAAGGAAAGGAGGGGGGGGAGACAAAGGGAGAGAAGGCATGAGAAAAGTGGCGTGAGCTCTCATCATGCTATGGAGGAGACAGGAAGACACCCCCTATGCGAGTTCCTGTGGCCATTGACTCTCTCACAGACCATCATGACCCATTAATTGTTCCTCTCCTTGCATGCTGTTGCCATCGTTCTTCGCTGTTGTTGTTACACCTGATGCAGATGGAAGAGAGCAAGGGGAGCTCTTCTGTTCGGTTGAATGCAATTCCCATGGATGATAAATGCTGTGTGTCTACTATCAGTCTACGAATGAATGCATGTCAATCTTAGGAAAACTAGTAGCATCTTCTCTCTCTCTCTCTCTCTCTCTCTCTCTCTTCTGCATAAAGCTGATGACAAACTTGGGAGAGAAGGGACGAATGTGGCCAGCAATCTCTACTGTCACCCAAGCAAAAGAAATATATCCACACATATATAAGTATACGATAAAGCTGTGGTTGGTGTTGGTGTACTTCAGGCCACAAAAGTGGCTTTGAGGAGCCTAGGGTTTAGGGTTTCAAGTTTCTGACAGTACACCACTAGCTCATACTTCTTGCTCCAATCTGGAGGTGCCTTCCGATCTCTGTAGCTTTGGTGAAATCCTTCTCTTGGTCTTCAAGGCATTAAAACTTTTTGATTCCCACTCATTCAACCTTCCTATGTAGATATCTAGATAAAACCTTAACAGATCCATCAACAACATTACATCTCCATTCAGAAAACATATACATACAGCATGGATTCCTTTGACATTTGGCTGATGGTGGATCGTATCATTGCAAATGTGTGAGTTGTAATGGATATATTACATTGAATATTGCAGCATCAGACATGTTAGAATACCTATCTGTTATATTATTATAAGCCACTAACTAGTCTAGAAAATTCTGTCCAATATTTATATCCAGAAAGATGCTAAGAGCCTAAAAAGGGATGTCATGCTTTGTCTCCTCAGCTTGGGTCCATCCATTCCACTCATTCATTGTGCTCTATATAATTAGCATATCCGAGGACCCACTAATTAACCTATGCAGAAGAGTTGTTTGTTGTCTTTTTGCATGATTCACAACATGAAGAACACATCAAAACTCATCATCTGAAATATAGTCCACAAGTGATGGTGTGGGTTTAGCTACTTTGGCTTAGCTGAGTTGAAGATGAAACATTCGATATGTAATATCTGATGCTCTATAAACAAGTACTTTTTGCTACCCTATAGGCTCTGATGGATCTACAAACTAGATTGCAGTATAGCTTTTGATTGCATCACTTGATTGCACTACCACACGGATGATTGTGACATAAACCGTTCTTGGCATAACAGAGGTTGAGGTAGCCAACCAGTTGATGCAGAAAGCGAAGCAATAATGAAGCTTCTCATTGTCATTTCGAGTTTACCAAGGGAAGACTCATCGCCACCTTCGTGTATGGAGGTAGCAATCAGTTCGTGTGTGGTGACCTCGATCGGAAGTTCTTGTTCTCAGCCTCATGAAGTCTGTCAATGCAGCCATCTGATGGGACGAGGAAACCATTTCTACTGCTCTCTTTGCTGTAACAAAAAGGTAGCAGCATTACGCCATATGTTGATTGCAAACATTAAACACCTGCCAAGAACTGCTTAGTTGTGTCTCGATCAAATAATCAATGAACGATTTGATTTTATTCTGATGATTGATTCTCTTCGTCAGAAGGAGAAAAACTATTCCCGTTGTGAGTTCACGGCATTCTGAACATGATTTGTGTTAGCTGCATCATGATCAGGCATTTCGGATTGAATCGACTTGTGAAGGAAACCATGGATTGTTCTTCATCAAAATTCAGCAGTAAGAATACAATAACAAAAACATTTCTAGTTTTTAGACTGTGACGATACAAATGGAATGATGTGCTGCGTTGGGGAGAAAACAGGTGACATCGATCTACTGCATTGTAAACACACATCGATGATGTGCGATGGATAGGGCTGATGATTCATGCCATGAAACAATTAGAACAGCGACACGTTTGCTATGTCGATGATTGCAGTGACTGGGGAGAGTGAAGTACGTATGCATGCATGCATGTAGTTTCTTCTTACGTAATAGATTTACTTAGGGTTTGAAAGCTCGGTTTGCAACAGGTAGAGGATAAATAACCCTAAGCAAAGGACTCGCGAAGAACCCTACAACATTAGTCCTGTCAAATTACTATTACCACAATTAGAATTTAGTAGATTTGAATCAAGACAACAGCTGAGGAGCTCAAAAGTTTGGGAGTCATTATCTTGTTTGATGGGTGTTTATGATATTGATAACCATGATTAGCATTGTGTAACAGCCATTACAACATGTATCAAATGATTATAAATCTTTTCTTTTCCTTGAATACCCAATACCCCCATGCATATGACATAATGGCACCAAGTTGAAGCATGATTATAATAAACTTGTATCCTGATTTGAACTTCTCTGATGATTAAGCCATCAGATATTTGTTCAGTATTGTAATATTTCAGCAATACTATTTATGTTTTATTTTTTTGTTAAAATATTTATCATTTTTTTCCCAGCAAATAATTTGATTCAAATTATTGTTCTCAGCAAAACTTGTTAGTTAATGTAAAAAAAAAGATTAATAAAAACAACTTTTTTAATCTCTTTTTCATGTATTATATGTAGTCGTTTTTATTATATATATATATATATATAAACCAAATCATCCCTACAAATTTCCTGCTGTTAATCCACGAGAACATGAGAAGACAGAAGAGGAATCGAAGAAGGCGAAGGAAAGAATCCCTCGCCATTAATTATGGAGTTAGTGCGAGGGAGTTGAGTTAGATCTTTTATCCCGGATTTGGTGCCGGCGCATTAACTCACAGACCACAAGCGACTGCCTCTCTCTCTCTCTCTCTCTCTCATCCTCCACCTTCTCTGCGGTAGTCAAATAAGGATCAGAAATGGCAAGTGCACAGTGAGAGCCATCACCCGCTTATGCCCGTGCAGTGATGCAACAGCGCCAAGCGACGACGCTGCCTCCGTCTGCCCCCTCGGCAGAACACCGAAAGCCATAAAAAGGAGTCACGGTTGCTGTAAACATAATAGAGAGAGAGAGAGAGATGAAAAAGAAGTCGACTCGGGTAACTTTTGAGGAACAGTGAGAAGGAGACCACGAGACAGAGGTAGAGAGAGAAAAAGAGCACAGTGTTCTAAGGCAGTGGAGAGTCGGAACGAGTGACAAATAGGAGTTGCAGTGGTCGTAATGATATCCCGATACATAGCAACACATAAACTGTACATACGTATGCGTGAGATATGATTATGACTGCACGTATGTTTCCAAAGAAAACAATGTGGAAATGTTATCAGACAAAAAATTGCAGAGATCTGTTTCGAGCACTGATAGAAAGGAAACAATTGAGTCCTACTCTTCGATCACTGTCCTGTGTTCGAGCGAGTATGGTTCAGACTCTCGCAGCTAAAGCAATGCAGAGAGAGAACTGCAGTATTAGTGGCAGACTTTGTTGCTCAACATGATCGATTTTATGATATTTTCAGTCATGAAAATAATCTTTTTTCTCTGTGGAGAAAATATATATTGATATTTTAATTTTATCTGTAGATGTTAATGATTTTAGGGTTGATGGGAGGATTACAAATGCAATCAGAGAGTGAGAGTGCAGTGCAATGGTAAGGTGAACCCGAAATCTGCTGCAGCAGAGGGAGTCGAAGAAGACAGACAGCCAACGCTTCCACTCCCCTTGGATGCCATTTCATCATGCTCTCTCTACACACATGCCTGCTGCTCCCACATACCAACAAGATATCACTTTCACCGATGACACCATAGGAAGAATCCTCTCTCTCTATCTCCATCTCTATCTCTATCTCTGTGCATTGAAGGGAGAGAAAGCACTTGATTTGTTTATATCTTTTCTCTTCCCTGTGACAGCTGCATCTGTTGCAGTGAGCACAGCAGCAGCAGCAGCAGGGAATGCATTGGCTGAGCTCCAAGCACACAAAACCATCAACTCCCCTCAGTAGCACTCGGTAACCATTTTCTGTGAAGGAATAGAAAACCTCGCACTTTATCCACCCCATGGAGCTAAAAAGAAGGCATGTGAGAGAGAAGACCGCATCAAAAGAACAAACACATCGCCGTTCTCCACGCACTTTGAAGCGTCCGCAGAGCGGAGCACAGAAAAAGGAAACCTTCGTTCGTGATTCGTACTGAATCACCCGAGAAATGTTATCCGGCTGTGAGTTCTGCTGCAGACGCTGTCGCGGGACCCGTCGCCGTGAGGGAAACATCACCCGGGAAACTTGTTCTGGGTGATTCACCTGCCTTGGAATGCGGCGGTGGCACCAAAAACAAAGGCCATCATCGTCCATTGGGAATAAAAAGGCCAAGACGAAGCAAAATCCCACACAAACCCAAAGCAAAGCGCCTCCTTTTCGCCTTCTTCTCCTTCTCCATAGTGTCCTTGGGGGAGGAGGGGAAGATGGGTTCCGTCGCGGCGGCTGCGGTGGGCTGTTGAGGGGCGGTGATGCGACTCCTGCTGCCGAGGAGCCGGAAGAAGGGGGCGGCGGGGGGTTGCTGCGGGTGGTGATCCCATCGGGTGGCGAAGGTTGGATTTTTTAAGGGCGTTTTAAAGGCGGCGACATGGCCATGGTTGTGAGCGGGAAGGAGGCAGGGAAAGGGCAGCAGGCAGCGGCGGCTGGGATGGACGCTGGGAAGTACGTGAGGTACACACCGGAGCAGGTGGAGGCGCTCGAGAGGGTCTACACCGAGTGTCCCAAGCCGAGCTCCCTGAGGCGGCAGCAGCTCATACGGGAGTGCCCCATCCTCTCCAACATCGAGCCGAAACAGATCAAGGTCTGGTTCCAGAACAGAAGGTAAAGAATCAGGGGAACACGAGAAGGTGACGGAATTTTTCGTCTTCTTTTTTGGCCCATCGTTTTCTTTGCCTGCTCCGAGAGTTGGCTCTGATGTCGTTACATCATTTTAACGTCCAATCCGTTGGAGCTGGATTTTTGGGCTGAACTCGTAGCCAAACTGGGACGCAATTTGAGATCCACGGTAGCTGTTGCATCGCTTTTACATTTTTCTTTCATCTGATTAGGATTTTGAGAAGCAGATGGTAGAAAGTTGTGATCTTTTGAGTTTGCGGTGCGAATTTCGCTTTGGGTTTCTTTCTTGTTTGCCATTCTACCTTTCTTACACTCAATCCGATAGATGTTATTGGGCTTAGCACAACATTACCGTATTTAACCCCTCACTGCGAGAGATAGCTAATCAGAAGCCGTTACATTTCTGCAGTTCTTTTTTGCGATTTTTGCCGACTCTTCAGCCACTTTCATAGATTTCGTTCTTGTTTGGTCTTTTACAGGATCCAAAATGTTTTTGCTATTTGGTAATGACGTACTGTTTGGTAATGACGTACTGTTGCTTTCTGCTTGTCTTTTTCCCTATGACTTGGAATTTGTTGTTTTGCTCATGTTTGTGATCTCAGTTGGATTCCGAGGATACCGCATCCGGTTGCCTGGTTATGTACCTTTTTATGCCGAATGCACCTCTTTCACGCCAGGATTTTCGGGTTCTTGTTTTGGTTTCTAGTCGGTATATGGATTTTGTTATGATAGTCTCGTGGAAGATTTTGTTTTCCTTGTTGTGTTCAGAACGTTGTGGGCTACGCTGCTTGATTCGTTTCAGAACCCAGAGTTTTTGGTCATAAAATTTGCATTTTGTTTGCCGACTTTTAATTTGGAACACATGGTAATGGTTTTGGATGAGAGGTTTTTGTACATGCATGAGAGTTAATGCCTGCCGTAGTGAAGGAAGGCCATTGAACTTGGGTGGACTTTTGGTGCTCCCAAGCTAAGTAAATTGACTCGGATATTAATGGAGAAAGCAGTTTATCTTTTCTATGTCAAGATAAATTTAAGAGTCAGCACATCTATAATTTTACCAAGACAACAAGGTACATAAATAGTAGAAAATTATTTTTCCAAAAATTGCCATGCAATCTCTAGTGATCAGATCCTAGTGTTTTAATCCCTTCGCTTAACTGTTATATCTGACAATGACAAGTGGTTCAGGATCTATTTATTTTGAGTTGTATTCCATACACTTATACTGTACATAATGTCATTTTGATTAGGATTTAGTGCAATAGTCTAGTACTATAGTATTAAACGTTGTCCGAATGCTATTTTCTTTGTAGATGTCGGGAAAAGCAAAGAAAGGAAGCCTCTCGTCTTCAAACAGTTAACCGTAAGCTGACTGCTATGAACAAGCTATTGATGGAGGAAAATGACCGGCTGCAGAAGCAGGTGTCTCAACTTGTTTATGAGAATGGCTATATGCGTCAGCAACTGCATAACGTAAGTGTGCATGTTGCACGAGTTCTTTTATTGAAAATTGCTGCCACCTAAAATATGATCAGTATATGCGTATAGCATTTCTCTTATGTTCTAGTGGTCAAAGACTGTAGTGCTTTTACTTTAAAAAACTGGTTGTCTGCTGGGTCCAAGGCACTCCAGTTGCTCTCTTGAGTAAACATTCATCTGGTTGAACTGCAAACTATGTGGTTCAATATGCCATTTGTTGCTGGATTGAACATGGGCCTACCAGTTCCTAAAATATGCTTGTTTTCATGTAATTCACTCTTACGTCTTTGCATTTGAGTAAATTGTTATGGATATGGGTTTATATTTCTTGTTCAATAGCTCACTGATTTTTTCATATCTGCAATGTTTCTCTGCATCTTACTTTTTGTAAATGAATATTCAGGCACCTGTAGCCACCAATGATACCAGCTGCGAGTCTGTAGTTACGAGCGGTCAGCACCATCATCAACAAAACCCAACACCTCAGCGTCCACAAAAGGATGCTAATAACCCAGCTGGGTAATCAGAATGCTTGGTCATGATGGAACTTATTTAACTTGCTTTTGTCGTTTGTCTTCTTCTAACACATTGTTCTTTCTTTTGGGACATTTCTCTTTCAGTCTTCTTGCAATCGCTGAGGAGACCTTGGCAGAGTTCCTGTCAAAGGCTACTGGAACTGCTGTCGATTGGGTTCAGATGGTTGGGATGAAGGTGATGTACTTGTTATTGAGCTACTCTGTGCTTGAGTCAATTTGTTATGTTCTTTTTGTACAATGCAACTTATTTCTTGTTATCCATTATAGCCTGGTCCGGATTCTATTGGAATCATTGCTGTTTCCCACAATTGTAGTGGGGTAGCAGCTCGTGCTTGCGGTCTTGTGAGTCTAGAGCCCACGAAGGTGAGCCATCACATGCTAATTTCTTGTTGCTGCTATTTTCTTACATAGTCATGCAATTCATGCTTTGCTTGGGGTTCTTAGGTCGCAGATATTCTCAAGGATCGTCCATCTTGGTATTGTGATTGTCGTTGCCTTGAAGTACTTACTGTAATTCCCACTGGTAATGGAGGGAATATTGAACTTATATACATGCAGGTTTGTTCTCTTTTACTTAGTCTGCCATCTGTAGGAATTTTGCAAACGCTGTTGGTCTTTTTTCTTTTTCCTATATATTGACCTTATCTTTTTGATCTCTTGCAATCAGACATATGCACCTACTACTTTGGCAGCAGCACGTGACTTTTGGACGCTGAGATACACTACCGGTCTAGAAGATGGCAGTCTCGTGGTACGAGTTGTATCTTTTGTGCACTGACATTTTCTCATATTCTGGGACGTGTATTTCTCTTGGTCGCTAAACATTTGTCAACACACTTAGTGATCTATTTGATATTTTCTTCTGAATGCTAGAAGACACTTAACATGTCACCCTTCTTTTAGATCTGTGAAAGATCATTGACTCCTGTAACTGGAGGCCCTGCTGGGCCACCTGCTCCAAATTTTGTAAGAGCTGAAATGCTTTCCAGTGGTTATCTAATTCGACCTTGCGAGGGTGGCGGCTCAATGATTCACATTGTTGATCATGTTGATTTAGATGTGAGTTTCATATGCTTTCTACTCTTATTGAGTTTTATAGCCATATTTTACTGATTATAAATATCTTTGGTGCTTCAGGCATGGAGTGTACCTGAGGTTCTTAGACCTTTGTATGAATCACCAAAAATTCTGGCACAGAAAATGACTGTTGCTGTGAGAGTCGTTGCCGATTTGTTAAACATTTCATTCATCCTGTACTATGAGTCATGCGTTGACTTTTTTCCAGGCACTCCGCCACCTAAAACAAATTGCTCAAGAGACAAGTGGTGAAGTCCCATATGGCAGCGGTCGACGACCTGCTGTACTGAGGACTTTTAGTCAGAGATTGAGCAGGTAATTGGTTTAGTTCTCAAGTTTTCATATTTTAGCCTTTTCTCCACAATTAACTTCTTTATGCATATGACACTAAATATTCTGGGTGTATTGCAGAGGTTTCAATGATGCTGTGAATGGATTTGTTGATGATGGTTGGTCTTTACTGGGTAGTGATGGTGTTGAGGACGTGACAGTTGCCATAAATTCTTCACCAAATAAAATTCTCAGTTCTCATGCGAACACTTCAGCGGTATTTTCAACACTTGGAGGTGGCGTTCTATGTGCAAAAGCATCAATGTTGCTGCAGGTCTGACTGAGCCCTTTAAGTGGACTTTCCATCATTCTGCAGGGATGTATTTTATGATATGTGATTTCGAGTTCAGTTAATAAATGCAACTCTTTCACACTGGCTTATGTTGTTCAGAATGTTCCACCTGCTATACTGGTCCAGTTTTTGAGGGAGCATCGTTCAGAATGGGCTGATTGTGGTGTTGATGCTTACTCTGCTGCCTCATTGACAGCTAACCCATATGCAGTTCCTGCTGTTAGGGCGAGTGGTGGGTTCTTGGGAAGCCAGGTGATACTCCCTCTTGCACATACCGTGGAGCACGAAGAGGTAATTTGACTTTCTAATGCTAAGAACATTGTGATGTGCTTGCCAGTTGGTGTTTGCTTCTGCCGATGCATAATACTAATGTCCTTAACTGTAGTTCTTGGAGGTGATCAGGCTTGAGGGTCATGGTTTTAACCAAGATGATGTCATTTTGTCAAGGGATATGTACTTTTTGCAGGTTTGTCTTCTAGAAATTGTATTATGTTTCAGTCTGTGGATTCAGTATGTTTCTGCTGAATGACTGTTACGTTTCTCTGCATGATGTCAGCTTTGCAGTGGAGTTGATGAGAATGCTGTTGGCGCATGTGCTCAGCTTGTTTTTGCACCCATTGATGAATCTTTCGCTGATGACGTTCCTTTGCTACCATCAGGTTTCCGTGTTACACCGCTGGACCCTAAGACAGTTGGGTACCTTCACACCAGTGTCTTCTGAAAATTTTTCGCAATTGATTCTTGTTTTCTCATCCCTTGCAAGAGCTAGGTTTTTTTTTCTTTGCTTTCATGAACTTATATGTGGGAAATGCTATCTTTAACCAAATTGTATTTGATTTGTGTCCGGATTAAACTTTTAGTTTTTAGTCATTGTTGCTCATAGTAGTTAGTAATTATTGACAATGATACAAATCTTGCTCCAATTATTAGTTTTGGTAACCACAGGAGCTTTATGATACCATTATACTGGTTGGTATACAGATGTCATTGAATAAATTAATAAAAAATAAAAGCAAATGTACTGTCCCAGTGTCAAATTATATGCTTGATATCGATACTTGGCCGGGCTGATAAATCTCATTCTGTATTGGTGATATCAAGATATGAAATTTTGGTTCTAGATAGTTTTTGTTTAATATAATTGAAGTCTAGCACCAAGTACCCCATGTCTTCTCTGATATTTACCTTAAGCTTATACAACAATAATTCAGGATTCGCCTGCTGCTACAAGAACACTTGATTTGGCATCGACACTAGAGATTGGATCTGGTGTCACAGCACGGGCTGTTAATGAGACTGCTTCAAGTACATACAATCTGCGATCAGTGCTCACAATAGCCTTCCAGTTCACTTATGAGAATCATCTCCGAGATAGTGTGGCAGAAATGGCCCGACAATACGTTAGAAATGTGGTTGCCTCAGTGCAGAGAGTTGCTATGGCAATTGCACCTTCTCGACCTGGCTCTCAGATTGGAGTAAAACACCCACCTGGTTCTCCTGAAGCTCACACACTGGCACAGTGGATCTCTGGCAGCTACAGGTAGTTCACTGTATACTTATGTGATCTTTCCTCCAATACCTTCCAGCTTATGGCTTTCTAGTCTAAAAGATGAATTGTGAGTTGCAGCTTAAGTCTAATTATGCTGCTGCATTTTTGTCAACACGTTTCTGGCTTGAAAATTGATTTTGACAATTTGTGCAGGGATAGAATACCTACAGTTAGTTAAATTTATTGAGCAAATACAATTCGAGATTCTCTTTGTAATGTTTGTCTAATGAATCATCTTCGATGCCTTCAGGGCTCATACTGGAGGAGACCTCCTTCGGGTGGACTCCCAAGCTAGTGATTTATTGCTGAAACTGCTTTGGCACCATTCTGATGCGATCATGTGTTGCTCTTTGAAGGTGAGTGATAGTATATAGGCAATTTATTTCATATGCATCTTTTACACATCTAGAGGCAGTTTGTAATTTCTTGTATCTCTTTGCAGCAACTGCTGAGATTTCTTTTACTTGGATTCTTTATGCAACCATATGCAACTTCTCAACATAGGAATTCACGCATTCAATGTTTTGCAGGCTTCTCCTGTTCTTACCTTCTCCAATCAAGCTGGACTAGATATGCTAGAAACCACACTGATAGCTCTTCAGGACATCGCACTCGAAAAGATTCTTGATGACAGTGCTCGCAAGGTGCTCTGCTCCGAATTCCCCAAAATCATGCAACAGGTCAGTAAACGAGTAAAGCTCACACTTTGCTTGATTCCCTACGTGTGCATTGTTCTTTGAATTGTCTGAAACCTGTGTCATGCATCGGAAACCTTAGGGCCTCGCTTATCTGCCTGCTGGCATCTGCTTGTCGAGCATGGGGCGGCCGGTGTCATATGAACAGGCTGTGGCATGGAAAGTCTTGAATGAAGAGGATACAACCCATTGTCTGGCCTTCATGTTTGTGAACTGGTCTTTTGTTTGAATGCCCTGAGCATTTCTCAGACATCTAAACTATCTAGTACTGGATGGAACTTGAAATGTTAACCCTTGTGCTCAAGTTGTGGCTTCCATATAACTATTGCGGAGCATCTATTGCTCTACATATGTTGGAGAACCGACTGTTCTATATAATATGATGCTATGTATGTGATGTTGTGCTTTGTCATCCTTGCTAATCCTTTTTGATGCTTTGCTCGTTATCAGCTGTCTTGTGATGATTCCCATGAACAAGTGATAGCATCCGCCCTGTTCTTGCTCCCTGGCTGCTGCCATCTCTCTCTGGTCAGTTTAATGCACATTGGCACATCACTTTCCCTGCTTACACGACAGGAATTTACTGTGGCACTGCTATTCATATGCACATTGAACTGTGGAGTGTATTCCTTCGATGTCCAACAGGGACCCTTGTCTGATGAAGCTGTCATGTCTACAGAAGCGTACTACAGTAAGCGTACATCATCATCCTCTCTCTCTCTCTCCCACTCACTACCTCTCTTTAATGCAGCTTTATGGCTAGTGGGAGGTGTACAGAGGAAGTTTGAAACTCCATCCATGAACATGTAGAATCAAAAGCCGTGCTGTGAGCCTGTAAAAGCTTCACCATATCGAGGACCACTGTTACCACCATGGAGATGCGATGCTTATCTTGAATGAGATCGAACAGTGCCTCGCACTCATGCAAAGGGAAGCAGAGCGGTGCAGCAGACGACCACAGCACACAGCCAGCGGCACCAGAAGAACCGATGTGTTCGCCTGCTGCTTCCCATGTGTGTTGCAGCGTGGGCACGGCAGGGGTATTGGCCCGCTTCGTCGTCGAGCAGTGGAAGCCATTAAAGCAGGACGCCTGCGCCGGCCTGCCCTGTGTGCTTCGCAGCTCACGCGTAAAACGTGCGCGCTGATTGATACGCGGCGTCGAACTTTTATCTGTCTCGAATGGGACCCACAGGTTTGGTGGTGGTTATCGGATATGTCCGAGGCGGAATCACGTGATCTTGGTACCCGACATTACGTCTCCCACCCTCGCACGACTTACCCGCCTTGTGATTGGGGGTGCAGTTCGAGCGGGACCCGCCTGTTGGGCCATCTTTGCATGTGACAGTGAGACCGGTGATCGAAGGGTATTTGGTTAGGTGTCATCTGAGTCACGGATGTCGTCCTTCCATTGGATTCCCGTTTGGGCCCCATGGACGGTTGAGATGGTAGATCACGGTCGCCTGCAGCGAATCGGCCATCGTATTTTTCTCTCTCTACCTCTCTATTTGGATCTGTGATCGGCGGTGGTGATGTGCTTGGGGCGATTTGACGGCAGATTGCCGTTAATTCGTGGTTTTGATCGAGGGATCGAAAAAGATGAGATCTTTGCATCGAGTCGTCGAGGAGGGTGGCGAAAGACGCCATTTTTATTAGGGCAACATGGGGACGAGGAAAGAGGAGATGGAATCGGAGAGGGAGTCCATCAAGGCGGCTTCCGAAGAGATCTCTCGCCAATTCGGAACCCTAGTGGACGCCGAGGAGATCGAATCTATCAAGCAGCTGCAGCATCTCATGTAATTGGCCTCGCCTTGGTGCTTCTATCTATCTCTAGGAAATTGATATTATATTTGCCGACTTCGCCGGATTTGTTCTCTGATTTGATAAGAAAGGATCAAAATTCCGGATTTCTTAGCTCAATTCTGAGAATTCTGTTGAAACGGGGCCTATTTTCAACTTCTTATTATCATCCAATGGCTCAATTCTTATAGTTTTGGTGCTCTGACTTTAAGGTTTAGTGCATTTTAACTGAACTATATGTGGCTGTGAATGTGGTTTATGCGGTAGACATTTGGATAATAGGTCTGTCTGAAGTATTTAATGAGGAGTAAGTGCAATATTGACTTCACATCTATGGGAAAACACTGACTGGTTGAAGAGCATACGAGTTTGAGTAATCCTTCAGCTTATCTGTCTATAATAATAGGTTTAGCCACAAAAACCAATCAAAACTTTCAGCGTATGAGATTGAGGATACCATTTATTAGAAGTTTTAAGGTGCTAAATTAACTTGATGACAACAACGAGACATCTGATCCTTGCTCTTTGGGAATGTTCTTCTAGATTCTTTTCTAGCATTGGACTAATATACTGTGTTATCTTGAACTGTATATCCTTAATCTTCCCTTCCTACTAAGCGATATATCCAGGTTATAATCTTCAAGTAAAGAACCTGCCATCTATATAATCCAAGTTTTGACCCTTTAAGCTAGTTCTTAAGCCTGCCAGTTCTTGTGATAGTTATAAGCTCGTTCGCTATAGTCTCAGTCCTTGTTGCTTTGGAGGGCTTAATTTTATGGAATTTCATGATCATTACTTTTCACTTGCTATTTTTTTGGCTTCTTTTTTTCAACCTGTACTTGACATATTCAGCCTTATTTCTTTTCAAATTAAAGTCTTCAGTTTTTAGAGTTTTCTACATAACATTAGTTTATTCGCACTATGTTTTCAGCAAATTATTGTCATTATGAAATTCCGTCTTTAATTTGTCTAGTATGTTTATCCATTTGAAGAGGAAATATGCAAGGATTGAAACCTTGACAAGTACAACTCTATGTAGATTAGGTTCATATTCACTGCCTCCACTTTAGCTGCACTAATAACTATTACATTATACACATTGTTGAATATGATAACATAATTATCTAGGATCCTTTTATTTGCCCTACCAGAAGGCAAATTTCACTAATGCCTCTCTTCTCACTTTTAATTTTATAGAAACCCTTGCAAAGTTGAAAATATGATAAATATGCATAAAAAATTACAAACTTTCAAAAATATCTTTCTAAGATTCATAGATACATTTCTCAGGTTAACAAACATTCATGGATGTACCATCCAAATAGCAGACAGCATGCTTATATATGAAAGAACTATGCTTAAGAGAATATGAAAATAATAAGCAATCTCAACGTTTGCAACTTTGAAGAGGCTTTGTGTATTCTGAAAGGTATGTATGAAACTGCACCTAAATTTCAAAACGAACACAAACTCATAGGTTTTTGCACATGACTAAATCTGGCTGAAACTCTTTCTTGTATCTACATTTTGCTAGTAGATAGTGAGATAATTGATAGTGATCCATGTTCGTTCATGAATAATTTGATTTTTTCGTATTCAGGATAAAGTGAGAGAGATTGTTAAAAGATGGGTACAGACACGTCCAAAGAGAGTAGTAGATGCTCCTGTTAAATGAGTTGTCAATTATGATTTTGTGGTGTGAGGAGGTAGTGAAAGATTGAAGAAAATTTTATCAGAACGTAAAAGTTATTAAATGCTTTTAGTTTGACGAGCAATATTGCTATCAACAGAACTAATGGTATGAAAAGATTCTTGGGACATTATATCTTGACGGCTTTACTTGATTTTATTATCACAAACTAGTTTGATTTTCATAATTTTTTGATATTCTATCATTTTTCAATTACATCCTCTCAAAGTTTATAATATGATTTGTAAGTTCATTTACGTAATACTTTGCACATTTCATTGTCTCTTCTTTTTACATAGTGGTGTTGATGTATTTTTCCTGCAGTGAGTAGGCATGCTAATGCTTGCTGTCTTTCCCTGAACACAACTTCTGTTTGGTATTTGATGGTGCATTGCCGGTAAATATTTTTACCAGAAAATTCTTTGCTTAACTGCTTGTACTCTATGCTGCAGAATGGGAAGACTGCAAGACAGTAATGCAGTCCTTTCACACTTCAATGAGTATTCGGAGCGATGTTATGCTGAGGTATCTGGCGACTTCACGAGAAATGTCCGTCTCTTGAAGTCCATGAAATCTGATCTAGACCACATTTTTACAAAGCTCAGGTGTGCTCCATGAGAATTCCTCTTTCTACCCCTCTTATAACATTAGTGTCCAATAGTGATCAGCTTTGTGGTTTTTATCGTATATTTATAGAAAATATTTCACCATTATTTTTTGCACAAACGTAATGCTTTCGTCTGTTGGATCACAGGAGCATGAAGGCAAAGCTAATAGCTACATATCCTGATGCTTTTCCTGATGGTTCCACTACCAACATGATAGATCAAAGGCCTGACCTTGAAACACCGCTTCCATGAGTCTCATGTACAGTTGCAGGAATGGATTCGGAGGCAGGATCGTGTAGCCGGTATTTTTGTTAGTTTGCCTATCAAGGGAAAGAATGGTTTAGAAGCAGTGACAGATGATAGTGATACTTGTCATAGTTTTGATCTCGGAGTTGCATTCGAAAGATACATGTTCATCTGTAGTCATTCTTCTTTATCAAGGTTATAGAACCTGTTTCTGAATACATTGGTTGTGTAACTGAGCTACTAATTCTTATGTGTTCTCTCTCCATATGGCTTGTTGATCTATGGTCACCAATTCCTGCTGTGTATATAAGATGCAATGGAATTATTATATGGTTGGCAAAATGTGAGAGGATCTCCAGATATACTTGACAATAGTCCTTGTATTGACCTACAGTTTTGACAGGAGCTTTCTAGTGTCCATCTTTCTCCTTGACAGGCTTATCATTCCATTAGGAGCGCATATTTCAAATGACCAAGTGTTTTAGGTCTTACCTTGTTCATCATGCATCTTGGGACTTTGATAGCCCTGTAGTTCCCCAAAGATTGTTTTCATATGGTTATTAACTATCAATAGTACAACTCATTTTGGGTATATTGTGCAATGTTGTTACCTTATTTGAAGCTCTCAAGAAGCTTAATTTTAATCTTTCTTGGATGATCGCCATTGCCATTACTAATGCAGTGACAAGAAAAGGGTTACTTTCTCTGTGATCAGGAGATGCAACAATCCATCAAATACAGAGATTTGTCACGAACAGTCTATTACTCATATTCTGAGCTTAATTAACATATTGATTAGCATAATTTAGAGTAATATTTAATGTTACAAATAGCATATTTTTGTTTTGTTAATATTGAGTCCTTATCAAATTAACACTAAATTTCTTGTTTTAATTTGCTTGAGCCCCAACATGAACTTGACCTATTGTGAACGATCAAAATAAAAATATTTTTGCTTTGAGGGCGGGAAAAGTATTTTTATTTTCGAAAACGAAAACAAAAACAAAAGCTAGATATTGAGAATTAATTATAGATTACCCTATATAGTTAGTCACCTTTAATATCCCGGTCTTTATATTTTAAAAAATTATATTGATATTTCTATGATTACGAAAGTAAAATATCTATGCTCATTTATTATAACGATATTAGTTTTACTAACAAAAATACGAAAATAAAGAGCAAAAAAAGTAAAATTAACATTCCGATGGTGGAGGATGACGACACTGTTGGCGCCAATGCCAACGTAGTTGTCGAGCGACTCTTTTGCCGCTCTGTATTTACATCGGTGCTTGGTTGCTATGGAATCGAAGTTCATTACCGAAGCCATCGCCGAGATCCGCTTATTAAAGCAAGACTCAGAGATGCATGCCCCCCTCATCGATGCTAGCGTTATGCCCCTCCTTGCCGCCTGCCACCTCAACCACCACCACCACTCATCTGCAGCCCATGAGAATGTCGCTACTGCCCTCCTCAACCTCTCCATCTTTGCCTGCGAGGCACTCATGTGCATCTCGGGCATCCTTGACACCCTCGCTGCCACCCTCCACCTTCTTTCCCTCATTGTCACCCAGCACGTAGTCGCAACCCTTTACAGAAACACCTCCTTGCTCTTCCCCCTCGCGCTCACCTTACTATCATTACTATTAAACCTAGTAAAAAGCGACGAAGACAAAAAAGTGGAGATGTCAAGGAGGTGGACAGGGCGAAGGCGATTGTAAGGGCTCTAGTCGACGGACAAGTGACAGTGAGGGCTCTAGCCACCACCTCCTCTCCCCCTCACCCCTCATGGAGGTGGACGGGGTGGAGGTGATCACGAGGGCTCTAACCGATAGTGATAATGGGAGAGGTGAGCACAGGGGTGGGGGATAAGAGGTGATGGCTAGAGCCCTCATGACCACTTATCCGTTGACTAGAGCTCTCACGATTGCCTCCGCCTCGTCCATCTCCTTGACATCCTCCACCGCATTGTCTCCATCGCTCTTTACTAGGTTCACCAATGGTGACAATGAGGTGAGCACGAGAGGGAAGGACAAAGAGGAGGCACTATTATAAAGGGTTGTGACGGTGTGCTGGTGATAGCGAGGGAGAGGAGGCGGAGGGTGTCGAAGATGCCTGAGGTGCACATGAGTGCCTTGCGGGCGGAGATGGAGAGGTTAAGGAGGACAACGACAACATTATCCTACACTATGGACGAGTGGTGGTGGTGGTGGTGGTTGAGGAGACGGGTGGCAAAAAGGGGCACGGTGCCGACGAGGGTGGTGCGTATCTCCGAGTCTTGCTTCGATAAGCGATAGATCTCCGTGATGACTTTGGCAACAGACTTTGATTCCACGATGACGAAGCACCGACGTAGATGTAGAGTGGTGAAAGAGCTGCTCGGCAACTATGTCAGCGTCCGTCTGGAATGTTAATTTTTTCTCTTTATTTTTATATTTTTATTGATAAAACTAATGTTGTTAAGGTAAATAGATAATTAGCCAAGACGTCAATAATATATAATTAGCCAAGATATTAACGATGGACGCAAGCATGAACTTCCTTTTGGACGGTGGAGATGACTCTACGATTCGCGTTTCCTGTCTGCTCGCCGCTCGCGCCCTTCCTCGCCTCCTCTCTCCACCGCCGCCTCTCCATCCCTTCTCGCTCCTCCTCCTCCTTCTCTCCGACGCCACTCTTCTCTTCCGACCACCGGCCGCCTCTCTTCCTCCGCCCCCCGGCCTTCGCCGCATCTCGCACCGACCTCCATGACTTCCGCCGTTGGGCAGAATCCCTCGCCCTCGCCGCCGGGCCCCGACTCTCCGCCTCCGACGGCGGCCCCGACGCCGCCCTCCTCCGTCGCGAGCTCGCGTGGCTGGTCGAGGACGCAACCGTCGCCGCTGCCTCCGAGTCCGGCGTCGGCGAGGAGCTCCGTCTCAGGGTCGAGCTGGAGGAGCTCTACCGCCTGTGGAAGGCGAGGATCGAGGAGAGGCGGCCGTTCCAGTACATCGTGGGGTGCGAGCATTGGAGGGACCTGGTCTTGGTGGTGAAAGAGGGGGTTTTGATCCCGAGGCCGGAGACTGAGATGGTGGTGGATTTGGTCGCGGAGGTGGAGGGGTTCGAGAAGGGCTTGTGGGCCGATTTGGGAACGGGAAGCGGCGCCATTGCTGTGGGAATTGGGAGGATGTTGCAGGAGGGTGGGAGAGTGTTTGCTACGGACTTGAGTCCGGTCGCATTGGAGGTCGCAAGGCTTAACGTGGAGAGGTATGAGTTAAAGGTCAGTTTTATCAAGATTGATTATTCATTCGTTTGTGGTATGAAATTTGGATTCCTAATCCATAAAAAAGTTGTTTTTCACCATTTGGCTGTTAAATCAAGCAGAAAGATCGAGTTATTAGGAATCTTATGGGAGAAAGATCAATATGAGTTAGTCTTGGATTAATTCTTCTGTAATTAGTTGGTAGATTTTTTTATGTCTGAAACTTATATGGCATTGTGAACAGAATTTGCAGGTATTACATTTCTTGTTCTTCTTCCTACTTCAATTGTCTTAGCTATCAGCACTTTATTCATGTGATCTTGTTTTTATTTCTTGAACTACTAATGTCTGATCAAACACCCTAATCGTTAAATATTATGGGGATATTATCAAAAAAGGGTGGAGTTTGATGCAAACTGGTATCCTAAGATAAGGATATGCAACATTTTTTGATGACTGAATAGGGAAGAAATCAAGCTTAGATTAATTGATGTCTGAAGTTTCATACATTAATGATGACATAGTAGAGAGTTCCAAATTCAGGATCTTTCTGTGCATGTATTTCTTGGGAAACAAAGTATAGTGGTCCACATTTCCTCAGCTATTCTAAATGATGAAGTCATTCCTATGTTTTTCTTCACCTTGTCCTGACGATAACAGAAAAAATAAGCTTGCACAGCTAATTTTTGAACATAGATCATTGGCAATCTAGTTGAATAGGAAAGTTCGTTGCTTTTTCTTTTTTCCATGTCTTAGGAACTTTTGAATAATGATAATATTTGGAACCGTTTTTATGGAGTAATCTGTTTCTCGAAATGAAGCGAAAAAGAAAGCCTCAAATGATATGTCGAAGCAAGGATGATACTTCTTTCGAATGGATGTTCCTTATACGCATGCAATTTGCTCACTATTTCAAGTGTTGCAAAATATATTTTCTAAAATAACTAGTCTTATAAAAAATTGTGGGTATTGGGTTCATGATGCTAATAACTGAGGAAGATTTGTTATATGGTAGATATGTTGAACATGTTGAAGATAGACCAGCTTATTTCATGAAACTCCTGACCGTTGAGGTATATTTCTTTCTCGTCAGCTGGCCTTACAAATCCACTGAGGTGTATTTGCCTGTGATGATTCATTGGCAAATTGAACTTTGCTGTTATGTTTGAAATTGGAGGCTGTTGTGGATCTTCTTTAAATTAGTATATCATACTTCTCTCGACAATCTATACGCTAGACTCTATGATTATATGTTTACTATTTACAATCTATATGCTGGACTCTATGATTGTGCCTGTGATGATTCATTGGCAAATTGAACTTTGCTGTTATTTTCGAAATTGGAGGCTGTTGTCGATCTTCTTTCAATTAGTATATCATACTT